GCTGCTTCACTTAATCTGACAGCAGCAGGGGTCGGGCTGGGGGAGGGATCCCACGTGTCCCATTTGTTCCACTCTAAGCGGGCAGAGGATGGATGTGAAGAGAGACCCCCAAGGGCAAGGCCAATCTGGTGTCTGTGGCCCCGAGAGCAGCAGCCTCCTCTCCATCAGCTGTTAAAGTAATCCCCATCTGATGAAGCAGCCGTGGGGATGCTGAGGGCTCATCCTGCCTGCGCTCTGCACCCCTCCTCCTTCACAGCCACTGCTGCAGAGCACCAGAAGGTCCCCAAGACCCACTGAAACCTGGCTCCTTTCCTCCTGCATCCCACCGGGATGCTCCTGCCCAAACAGGAGCCAAGTGTTTGGATCCTGTTGTCCACCAGGCAGGAGCAGGACCCACAGCACCTCGACGAGCAGCTCGCACGGGTGTGTTTTACCCTGGCTCCTGTTTGCTCTCGAGAGGATGCTGCTCTTCCTTAGCAGCAGACTTTACCCAAGTGCCGCATCCCAGGCTGCGTGGGACTCGTTATTTCCTTGCAGTTTGTCAGGAGAGGGATGGTTGGGAGCAGCTTCCCCCTCTTTGTCTTCTGGAGGGTTTTAATGATGCTCCAGGGCTCCATCATCCCTGTTTGACTCCTGTTCCCTGCCTCTACCTGTTGAGCTCACTTAGGAAACAAGCGTTCCTGTGGCAGAGGGATGGAGTGAAGGGCATCTATGAGGGCAGTATAAATGAGTGATGCTGGCAGAACACCTCCACTGCCTTTGGGCTCAGTGCATGGAAGCTGCAGTGATGGGCACCAGAACTCCTGCTGGTTCCAGCTGTGGAAGCCTCCATCTCTAACCCATGCTGGTGAGGGTGGCCGATAACCACACAGGGTGGATTTGGGGTGTGTTGCTCACACTGATAGAGCAAAGCAAGGTGAGCAATAAACGCCTTCCCTGTTCCCTGCTTCCCCAGCCAAGCCCTATTGATGGTGCTGGTGGGGGCAGGACCCACAGCTCTGCTCCTGCCTTGCTTTTGGCCATGAGAAGAGGGAGAACCGGGTCCTCTCCCCCAGGCGAGGAGGGATGAGCCTGATGCTGAGCTCCCCTGCCTGCTCCCAACCCAAAGCAATTCACTCCCTGCCTGCTCACGGAGGTTTAGTTCATTGCTGACTGCTCCCGAGGCTCATTCTCATGCACAGGAGATGGGTTTCCCCTCTGCTGTGTGTGGCAGGGATGCGGGTGTCTGTGTTTGCATGGATGGGCGATGCGGGGCTCTCACTGCTCCTGCAGCAGGAACCCTTCAATTCCCTAATTTAAGGTTCCTAATTTAAGGAACAGCCTGAAGTTCCCTGGGGACTAAAATGCCTCTTCTTTATCAGGCAGATCTCGGGAGCTGGGGAGAAAAGAGATGCCTCCGCTTAGGGGAAGATGCTCAACTCATGTGCCTCATCCTACTCCTAATGCAGATGGACAGATTGCTCCTGCTTGCTAACCACAGGCTGGGGGGGTCAAGGATGTGTCAAAACCTATCTCAAATCCTTGGGAGGTTTCCTCAATCCCTATCAGAAGCAGAAACCAGTTGTAGCTCAGTCTCTGTGGTCTCTCATCCTGTCCCTCAGCAGGCTGTGGCTGCAGCAGGGCACAGCTCGCTGTGGGTCCATAATGCAGGAAGCAGGGATGCTCCTTCAGGTTATCCCTGTTTCCTCCCACTCCCACCACAGCTTCCCAGTCTCTGAGCCTCACAGGGGTGAATTTCTCCATTTCCAGCCCTCGCAGTGACTGGGGCTTCCCTCCTCCTTGCATCCGGAGGCTGCTGCTGGGGACTCGGCTTCTCCCAAGTGTTATTAGCATGCCCGGGGCATGGGATGCAGTTGCCATGGCAATGGGATGATTTCTGCTGGCAGCATCAGTTGATAGTACCGGCGCTCCTGGGCCGTGGCTGAGCTGTGAATGCAGCTCTGGCTGGTGGTGCACACAACTTACCCATTGCCTTTGCCCTTCACAGAGCCCTGGATTTGGGTTTTCCATGTGCAGCCCTTGAGCATCAGGGGATGGGGCTGTTAGAACTGGGCATCTCCATAAAAATCCTGTCTTTGCAAAGGCCCCAGCAGCAGGGATGCTGCTTGGTTATCCCCATAGGACCGGGGTGAAGCTCCATCCCCGTTCCCAGGGCACGTGTGGGGCTGGCCTGCCTGGGTTGTGGCCTTCCGGAGCTCATCTGCAACTGGAGGATGAGGGAATGCAGAATCATAGACCTGAGGGTTTGGGCTTTGTTTTCTTTGACCTTGGTGGGAGTCAGGGTAGTGACTTCTAAGAAACTCCAAAAAGGGCTCCAGGATGCAAGGGATAACGGGGCTGAACCAATAGACAAGTCCCAGGACTGCCCTCCCCTGCCCCTGTGAGTGCAGTTCTTGGGTTAGCATCACTGTGAAGGAAGCCCCAACTGCCCCAGCAGCTGTTTAATGGCATTTGGAACTAAACCTGATGCTGCTGGTGTTTGCCCAGTGGGTACCAGCATCCCCATGGCCCTAATGGAGGAGTCATCCTGAGGGCAGAACCCCTTGAGCAAGGCTGTGCAGTGCAAACTCCTTTGACCTGTGCTGCCTTTGGTCCCTGCAGCTTCACTCTTAGAGGGGGTTTTTGCCATCTCCACAATGACAAAAGGGCACACTTCCCTCTGTGCTGTCTCTTCAAGGTAGGAATGCATTAACCCAGCACCTACTGCAGCTCCAGGAGCCTTTACAGAGCAAACCGTGCTAACCAGAGGCCAAACTGGGCCAATGCCATTTGTCCTTTGCACCCCTCCAAGCTGTTCATCTCTGCTCCAGCAGACAGCAGCTGGGGTGGATTTGGTTCTAAGATGCCTTAACACTGTTTTGCTGCATCCAAAATGTCCTTCCCTATTGCTAAGCCGTTGCTCCCACCCAGACATCCCCACTCCAGTGGGTACCAGTTGCTGGGAGAGCAGGAGCTGAGGCCAGGATGTCAAGAGCAGGTAAAGAGCTGTGCCTGTGGCTCCTGCAGGACCCTTGTGGAGAAGCAGGGGTTATCCCTATTGGGGTGTTAATGCAGGAATCTCTGCAGCCTTGATGTCTCCCAGTGTGATGCTGTGACAGAGCCGTGCCTGCAGGCAGCCTGAATGCCGTATTACATCCCCTCTAATCAGGTTAATCTAAACAGGGATTAAAGTCTATCCTCCAAGCAGTCACTGAGCTCTTGTTTGGGTAAAACTGCTTCTTGTCCTTCCCAATCTCACTCCTGCTTGCTTTGGGGCTTGATTTGGGCTTATTTGATGCCTCAGGCAGCAGGGATGGGGCAGCGGGTGATGTCCTGCATGGAGCAGGCTGCTGTGTACTGGAGCTCCCCTGCTGCTTGCTGAGTTCTTTTCCTCTTTCTGCAAGCCACATCAGCCCCGTTTGGTTTCTCTCTGTGTGTGTGGGGTTCTCTTTACTCTTTCAATGGGGTTGGGGCAGCTGTTTGTACTGCGTTGCTGCTCTTGCAGGTCTGTGGTTGCCTCGTCTGTCTCATAGGGAGCAGCTCTCAACCAGACTCCTCCACATGCAGCTGGGTTTGTGCTGCTTTCCCCTCATTTGACCCCACTTTCTTTGGCCTTGGGCAGAGGTGTTAATGCTGCTGTATAAATAGATAATTGCTACTGCTCGGAGCACACAGGCTCCCAAAGCAGAGCCCAGCATCTTATTAAGACCCATTTCATGTGGTCTGGGAGGGGATGGGGATGCAGCATCCCCATAGTGTGCTGCATAGCCCTCAAGTGAGGGCTGCCAGCCCCAGCTGGGTTGCATGGAGATGTGGAGGCTGCACAGGCTGAGTTTCAGCCCTGGACCTGGAAGCAAAGCATTGAGACCCTCAGGAGTGAATGGGACCTCCCCGTTATCCTCTGCAAGGAGCTGCTGTTTCCCTGCTCAGCTCTTCCAAACCGGTTGCATTGCCTTGGATAAAAGAGGATTTATCCAAGCTCTCGGGGTAAAGGTTGGATTCGGTGACCTGGTGTTGGAAAAGGCTTTTCCAACCTGGTTAATTCTATGTATGGGAGTGAACCTGAGCTGCAGCGCGATGCGCTGCCCTGGTACCATGGGTGTGATGTGGGGCTGGGGGTGTCCCTGTGCCTCCCACCCCTCTCCTGCACCATTAACCTGCCTAAACCCCTGTGCTCTGTTCCTGCCACCCACTTGGAGTCCTGCTTTAACTCATGAAAGAGAAACCTCTGCCCCTTTCCAAAGGCAGCTTCCCCCCTCCTTGCTCTCTGCATTGTACACCTGAAGCGCTGCTGGGGATGTCTTTGGTTTCTTTGCTGTCCCATGAGAGCAGCCACCATCTGGTCAGTGTCAGATGTCTTATCCTGCAAGGAGGGGGGGGCTTTGCATCCATGGCAGCTACAGAGCAAGCTGCTCCAGTGGAAGGTGTCCGTGCCCGTGGGTTGGAACTGGATGAGCTTGAAGATCCCTTCCAACCCAAACCATTGCATGCTTCTATGACCTGGCCACAGGCAAGAGCATCCTCATAACATGAGGCTTGTGTGGCTGAAACCTTGAGTGCAACAAGCAAATAAAGCCCCCCCTGTACAGCTGGAACAGTGGAGCAGGCACAGGCACTGTAAAGCAGAGCAGAGGCAGCGCTTACTCAGGCTAATGTTACCCTGAGGGGTGTTTAAGGGGAGATTGAAGATGTGTTTAATGTCTCTCCAGGAATCAGCCAGGCACAATGGACTGGCTCCATCCCTTGGGAAGAAAACTGCCCCTGCTTTGATAAACCTGAACTTAATATATTGAGGGTGGGAGAGAATCAATGCCTCAGCTGGGGAAGGCATCGGGCACAGGGAGAGATCCCAACACCCCCAATGGCTCCTGCTCACCCTGCAGCGCATGGAAGAGCTGCTGCTTGCCATGGGGCTGGGCCACTGGGATGGGATGGGGGGGCTGCTGGTTGTGGGGTGGTTGGGATGGGACGGGGAGCATGGGTATGACTGATGTGACTGATGACATCCGTTCTCCCTGCAGACACTACCCGAAGCAGACCTTCACCATGGTGGCAGACACTCCGGAGAACCTGCGCCTAAAGTACCAGACTGAGCTGCAGAGCCCGGTGAGTGCCCCATGGCCCCACGTTATCCCTGTGCCCTGGCATAGGAAGAGGCAGGTCTGGGCTCTGGGTCCTTTCTCTTGCATCTCTGAGTCCTTTCTCTTGCATCTGAGTCCTTTCTCTTGCATCTGAATCCTTTCTCTTGCATCTGAGCCCTTTCTCTTGCATCTGAGTCCTTTCTCTTGCATCTGAGTCCTTTCTCTTGCATCTCTGAGTCCTTTCTCTTGCATCTCTGAGTCCTTTCTCTTGCATCTGAGTCCTTTCTCTTGCATCTGAGTCCTTTCTCTTGCATCTGAGTCCTTTCTCTTGCATCTGAGTCCTTTCTCTTGCATCTGAGTCCTTTCTCTTGCATCTGAGTCCTTTCTCTTGCATCTGAGTCCTTTCTCTTGCATCTGAGTCCTTTCTCTTGCATCTGAGTCCTTTCTCTTGCATCTCTGAGTCCTTTCTCTTGCATCTCTGAGTCCTTTCTCTTGCATCTCTGAGTCCTTTCTCTTGCATCTCTGAGTCCTTTCTCTTGCATCTGAGTCCTTTCTCTTGCATCTCTGAGTCCTTTCTCTTGCATCTCTGAGTCCTTTCTCTTGCATCTGAGTCCTTTCTCTTGCATCTCTGAGTCCTTTCTCTTACATCTCTGAGTCCTTTCTCTTGCATCTGAGTCCTTTCTCTTGCATCTGAGTCCTTTCTCTTGCATCTGAGTCCTTTCTCTTGCATCTGAGTCCTTTCTCTTCCATCTCTGAGTCCTTTCTCTTGCATCTGAGTCCTTTCTCTTGCATCTCTGAGTCCTTTCTCTTGCATCTGAGTCCTTTCTCTTGCGTCTCACCCATCTCAGCTGCATTTGCTCTTCCCTTTATCCATGGCTCCCTGGAGCTGCTGCAGGTGGGAAGGGTCCAGGATGCAGCCATAGAACAGACAGTGTTTTAGGTGGGAAGGCACCATAAAGCTCACCCATTTCCAACCCCCTGCCACAATCAGATGGTTTCATGTGGCCAGGCCTTGACTCTCCAGGCAAGTATTTCAGGTCAACCCAAACCCTGTAGGGCTTGAAAGCAGAAACAAACAGATAAACAGGATAAGGACTGGCATGGAGGAAGGCTTGCTTTCCCCAGAGCCTGTTTGAGGAGGGTGTTGTCCAGACATGTCCTGTTTCATACCCTGAAGGCGTCCCTGCATCAGCAAAAGTCCCCATCCTCGACGCATGGGCGATAACTCCTGATGGGGCAGTGGGAACTGGTCCCTTTGCGATCCCTGGTTTCCTTTAGTTACTCCGGGATGCTGGGAGCAGAAAGATGAGGATCAATTTTGCATAGAAACCCTTGGAAGGGCCAGGTTGGCCATGGAATGGGCAGCTTTGAGGGGGTGACACTTCCTTATGGCACTTGGCTCTGCTGAAGCATCTGAGATGATGCCCTGAGCCCTTGCATCACGCATCTGCAGACGTGGGCTCAGAGGATGCTGTGCTGGGAGGAACCGCATCCAGCGGCACTTTTGGCTTGAGTCAGCGTCTGAGCAGAGCAGGGGATGTTGCAACCGTTGGGGGAACCTATTCAATGCCTGTTTTCCTTTGAAAAGGGGCAAAAAGCCTGCCCGGAGGGGACGCACTGCCTCGGCTCAGTGCGGGAGCACTGGGGCACAGCACAGGGTTTGCTGGGGTGTTTGTATGGGGAACAATCCCTCCTCTGGATCAGTGCATCCCTCTCCCTGCTGCGCTGTGAAGGATGCAGTGACCTTCCTGCCTTCCTGCCCGTTAGCCTGAGGGGGTCAGGAGCTGAAAGGATGGGCATGCATCCCAATGGAGGAGGAGGATGGGGAACCTCAGGACCTCACCTGATCGGAGCTGCTGGTGCCCAGTGTTGAAACCTCTGCTTTTGTAAGGTCCCTTCCTCCCAGCGGGTTGCCCAACAGCTCCCTGGCTTGCACAAGGGCAGCTTGGCTCCAGCTTAGAGCCTGGGGCTGGCTTTGTGCTTGATGCGCTGAGGAAGGGGACAGCGGCTGCTTCTCCATGGTAACAGGAGAGATGCTGCTGTAAAGTGAATCCAGGCTCTTTGGTAGTTGTTGGTTATTAAAGCAGGCCCTTGGGAAGGAGGGAGGCAGGGATGTGCTCTGCTCCCTGGGCCTTGCTTCCAGGGGCTGGAGCTGGGGTAGCACAGGGCTCTCAGAGCCTTCTACAACACTGGGTTATGTGGCAAATAGGGGCTGGGGTGCAGGCAGCATCCTCCAGCACCCCCCTTTGCAGTGCTGGTTTCACATTAGGGTGGATTGGTTTGAATGGGAGGGAATAGGGGCTGCTGGTGGTTTGGGTGCTGGGGAGGGTGAGGAGCAGTGGGAGGAGGTGGCAAAGCTGAACCTGCCAAGAGCCCTGGGGAGGATGGATCCTGAACGCTCCAGATAAGATCTTAATTCCTCCCTGCCTTTGTTGTGCCTACAAAGGGGAGTCTCCTGCTTTCCAAAGGCCTCACATTTGTAGCTCTGCTTTATTGCCCATCCCTTCTTTACTAATTACAGGAGCTGAGCACATCCCTGGGGACAGGAATGGGTCCCTTCAACCCTTCCAGAGCAGGCAGTCGGGTTCATTCTTGCAGATGAGCTGCATGTTGACCTGGAGCTGTTGGAAAGGCTTGAGGAGGAGCAGTGCAGTGATGACAGCCCTGTGGGTTCAAGTGGCACATCCTGGTTGATGTTGTGAACATGGGGCTGGGAGTAAGGTCAGGGTTATGCGGACAGTTATGTCCTGTTGGTGCTTACAGCCAAACTCAGGTCCTTGGTGGGAGGCTTCCCTGAGGCTCTTCCTAAGGAGAAGGGAGATTGCTGGGTCCGTGCCTTCTGCAAGGGTCGTTCCCTGGCTGTGAGTGATGCTCCCATTCCTCTGGGTGTGTGTGGGGCTGGAGAGATGCCATAGGCATCCATGCCTATGGAGGACCCTGAGGATGCTCATCCTCTGCCTGCCCCCATCACACCCACCCATCCCAAGCACATCCCTCCCAATGCTGCTGCTGTTTGTGGCTGCTGAGGAGGCGGCTCCTGTTCCGGTCCCTGGTAACAACCGTGCCTTGTGTCACTAAAGGAGGCTCCAAAGGGGCAGCTTTGGCACCTGCGGCCTCCTCCCGCAGCCCACGGGTGGTGAGAAGATTGCAGGTTCCTGTTCCTTGGGTCCTGTTTTGAGCTCCAAACGGGGGGGTTTGGGTGCAGCCCTTCCTGCCCTGCCTGTGGGAGGCTGGAAGCGGGCCCTGGCCCTCCTGTGGGTGACCTCAGGGACCTGCTGGTGGTGGCATCAAGGATGCGGGCATGAGGAGGGGTCAGTGCTCTCGAGATGAGACCTGCGAGGTGTTATACCCTCAGTTATAACAGTGAAGGGGTTATAACATGTGAATTATAACAGTGAAGGGGTTATAACCTCAGTTATAACAGTGAAGGGGTTATAACATGTGAATTATAACAGTGAAGGGGTTATAACCTCAGTTATAACATGTGAAGGGGTTATAACATGTGAATTATAACAGTGAAGGGGTTATAACCTCAGTTATAACAGTGAAGGGGTTATAACATGTGAATTATAACAGTGAAGGGGTTATAACCTCAGTTATAACATGTGAGGGGGTTATAACATGTGAATTATAACAGTGAAGGGGTTATAACCTCAGTTAGAACAGTGATGGGGTTATAACGTGAATTATAACAATGAAGGGGTTATAACCTCAGTTATAACAGTGAAGGGGTTATAACATGTGAGTTATAACAGTGATGGGTTTATAACCTCAGTTATAACATGTGAGGGAGTTATAACATGTGATTTTGGGGGTTTTTTTGTGGGGGTTTTGTTGTGGGGTTTTTGTTTGTGAGGGGTTATAACATGTGAGTTATAACAGTGAAGGGGTTATAATGTGAATTATAACAGTGAAGGGGTTATAATCTAGTTTAATGCTCTCATGTTCCTCTGTGCTTTGGCTGTGTGCTTGTATTGACATCCTCCCAGGGTGGATGCTGCAGCCTGGTTCCTTAACCCTTTGCTTTCTAATATCTAAATGTGGGTACGACCCAGAGATGACAGCATCCCCCTAAGGGTTTCTGTGATACTGGATTGGGATGGGGGGTCCGATGTTCTTCCAAAGCTTGGATTTCCCCTGCCTTCCAGGTTAGGAAGAGGGACCAGGTTTGCAGTCGAGCTCCTGCTGGTGCCCATCACACACCAGTGCAGTGCCCAGGGTGAGCTTTCCCTGCACACATGGAGGCTGCCTCTGCACAGAGCCCTTTTAAGGCTCTTCCCAACCCACATAAGCAGAGGCAGCTCCTGATCCCAGCACAGAGCCAGATCCCTGCAGAGAGGATGGAGGAGGTCAGGGGGTCTCTGTGCACATCTGTTTCCCCCCCTGGCCATGGGGGAAGAGCAGCGCTATGGGGGCAGCCAGGCCCTGGCTCCTTTCCTGCTGGAGCCATTGGGTTCCAGCCTGTGCTGAGTGAGCTGGGTGTGAGCAGAGCTCGGGGCTGGGAGCTCCAGGCTTTGGGCTGTATAGATTTATACTGGTAAATGGCTTTGGGCTGTGTAGATTTATACTGGTAAATGGCTTTGGGCTGTATGGATTTATACTGGTAAATGGCTTTGGGCTGTATAGATTTATACTGGTAAATGGCTTTGGGCTGTATAGATTTATACTGGTAAATGGCTTTGGGCTGTATGGATTTATACTGGTAAATGGCTTTGGGCTGTATAGATTTATACTGGTAAATGGCTTTGGGCTGTATAGATTTATACTGGTAAATGGCTTTGGGCTGTATAGATTTATACTGGTAAATGGCTTTGGGCTGTATAGATTTATACTGGTAAATAAAGGCACAGAGAACTTGGGCCTTTTGAGCTGCTGGGAAGCGATGCTGAGGTCAGTGTGTGGCAAAGAGCAATAAGGAGGCTTGTGTATTGCCAGCCTCCACGCTCCCGTTGCCCTATGGCCATCTGGGTGTATTCCTTCTCCATGGGGCTAAAGGTCCCCTGATGTGTGATGCTTTTGTCTGCCTCATAAACCCCCAGGGCTGTGGGGCAGGCAGCTTGCTCCATGGGATGTGACTTGGGGGTATTGGTAGCCCAGAAAGGAAATGTGAGTTATCCCAAGCCTTGCAATAGAGAAAGCAGCTCAGCAGATGCAAAGGGAGCTGTTGGTGTGCTCCAGCCCTTGGCAATCCCCTGTTTCACCCATGCTGGATACACTGGGGGGGGGTCTCCTTAGCAAGGCAGAGGTTGGGTTAGAAGCTGCTGCAGTGCTCACCAGCGTTGCCCTGCTTGTTTCTTCTTGGTTGCATCCAGATCCGCTACAAGGAGGAGTTTGAGAAGAACAAGGGGAAAGGTTTCTGCGTGGTCACTGACACCCCGGAGCTGCAGAGGATCAAAAAGATCCAGGATCAGATCAGCGACGTGAGTAGCTCCCGATCCCTGTGGATGATGCTACCCAAGGAGAGGGGAGGGAGGGTTCTGCTGGCAGAGCCACACTGATGGATGTGAATGAACACATGAGGAAAGCCGACCTGGATGCGCTTCTGGATCCATCCTGGTCCTTATCCCGTGGTGCTCCTGATCCTCATCCCCCCTGGTCCTCATCCTGGTCCTCATCCCTCGGGCCCCTCTGTGCTGGCCGATGGATCCAGAGGTGCATCCTGGTCCTCATCCCACGGTGCTCCTGGTCCTCATCCCCCCCTGGTCCTCATCCCTCGGGCCCCTCTGTGCTGACCAATGGATCCAGACGTGCATCCTGGTCCTCATCCCCCCTGGTCCTCATCCTGGTCCTCATCCCATGGTGCTCAAGATCCCATTGCTATGAGCAGCAAGCAGGGGGGGTATTTGACTGGAGCAGAGCAGTGGCAGCACCTCCAATGGTCCAGCTCTCCCCCCTCTCCTCCCTGCTTGTGTCTGTGTGTGGCATCCCCAAAGGCACCTCCTTCTCCTATCCCTGTGCAGGCTCCCCTTGCCTGGACCCCTTCCTGGCTCCAGCAAAGCCTTTTCACCCATCCAGGAGCTGCTGCTGTTGGTTTGTCCCCAGGGTCCCCCCATTTGCTCTCAGCAGCCCCAAGGGGAGGACAGGGATTGTCACCCCTTTTCCTAACAACATCCCACATCTTGCAGTGCTGCAGCCTTGCAGGGAGCTCCTCAGTGTCCCTCCTACCTCTGCTGGCATGGAGGTGATCCTGGAGGCTGCTCCCATCTCCATCCTGCCTTGTCCTTTGGGAAGGGAGGCTCTGACCTGTGTCTGCAGGAGACCCAGCTCTTCCATTTGGGAACAAGAGGTTAAAGCCATGGCCAGTGGAGCGGCAGCTTCACCCTGCAGCCCCTGGCTGTTGGTACCCAGACGGGGATGTATGCGTGTTGCCATGGTGATGAGGAGGATGCTCACTCGCACATAGAGCTACATGGGCTTTATCCATCCCCTAACCAAAGCGGACCCCGTGCTCCTGCAGCAGGGCACAGAGAGTTAATGAACCTTGGCCTAATGAAACTCATGGGTGCTCCTCATCCAACACCAGGAGCTGGTGCTGAACCTTGGCAGAAGGCTGGGGTCTCCTTGACCGGTAAACCCAGGCCTGGAGCACAGCTTGGCACAGGAACCGCTGCTGTGAGCTGCGATCCCACATGGAATTCCGCAGTGCCCTGAGCTGCTCCTGCTTTTCCACCCCTCAGCATCCCTGTCTGGGGTGGGAGCTGCTCTCTGCTGTGCCCAGGGAGAGGGAGGATGGTGCAAGTGGAAGCTTGAACCCCTCCAGGAGCTCACACACGTACACAAAAAAGGGGATGCGCTGGTTTATTCCCTTCTCTTCTGATCCCATTGTGGACTCTGGCAAGCCCCTGGGGACCTGCAGGGTGTTACCTGTGCACCAAGGCCTTGGGAAACAGCCCTGGCTGCAGGATAGTCCCTAGGGACAGGTTCTCAGTGGGCTCTGGTGCAGCAGATGGGTGCAGTGTGGAGCAGGGCTCAATGTTCCGTTCCAGAGATGCTGTGGAGGTTTGGGGTGCACTAAATCACACAGCAGAGAGCAGACACCGGCCCCCCCCTTCCCTCCTCTCCCAACCACAGCAGCAGCTTCCCTGCGGGCATCTGGCTGCCAGCCTGGGCTTGCAGTGACCCACTTAGTGCAGACACAGGCACGAACCCGCTCCCTGCACCCAGCCCGGCTCAGCCTGCGGGGTTTCACTGCCACAGGGGGTGCAAAGGGGTTCAGTGGGGCAGGAAGCTGGCACTGCATGGGGATTTAACCAGCAAATGGGCTCGGGGGGTCCCCCATTCGTTAACACAAGAGGCGGTTGGCTCTGACACACAGGCAGGTGGGTGAGCCCTTCCCCTCTGTGCTGGATGCGGGAAGCCTTATTCTGATGCAGTCGGTGTGGTTGGAGATACCTGCTCTGAGAGCGGTCCAGAGGCCATGGGGATGCTGTGAGGGCTGGAGCAGCTCTGCTCTGGAGCCAGGCTGAGAGAGCTGGGCTGGGGCAGCCTGGAGAAGAGAAGGCTCCTGAAGGGGAGACCTTAGAGCAGCTCCAGTGCCTAAAGGGGCTGCAGGAAACCTGGAGAGGGGCTTGGGACAAGGGATGTAGGGACAGGACAAGGGGAATGGCTTGAACCTGCCCGAGGGGAGACTGAGCTGAGCTCTTAGGCAGAAGCTCTTCCCTGTGAGGGTGCTGAGGCGCTGGCACAGGGTGCCCAGAGAAGCTGTGGCTGCCCCATCCCTGGCAGTGCTCAAGGCCCGGTTGGACACAGGGGCTTGGAGCAAGCTGCTCCAGTGGAAGGGGTCCCTGCCCGTGGCAGTGGTTGGAGCTTTAAGGTCCCTTCAACCCAAACCAGGCTGTGGGTCTGTGATCCTCCTTCAACACGCCCTCTCATGGTGCAGTTAAGAGCAATCTGGGGTTAGGTGTTGGAGTGGTTTCTCCCCAGTGCTCCTGCAGACTGGGCACCTCACCTTGCATCTCACCCCCATGGCCCATCCCAGCCATGGGACGCTCAAACCTCCTCCTTCCTGTGCCACAGGAGCACATTTCCCCATGGCCTGGGGAGATGTGGGGGAAGAACCCCCTTGGTACTGCCGGGGACAGCAGGAGAGGAGCTGAAGGATGCTGCTGGTGCTGACCCTGCCCTCTCCATCCCCTCCTGTCCCTGCAGATCAAATACCACGAGGAGTTCGAGAAGAGCCGGATGAGGCTGAGCCCCAGCGAGGGCGCAGAGCTGGAGCACCGGAATTTCCAGGAGAGCACCAATTACCAGAGACCCACGGAGCAGCAGCAGCAGCAGCAGCAGCAGCAGCAGCAGCCTCCGGTCCATCACATCCAGCCCAGCAACCCAGGTACAGGGGGGCTGCGGGTGCACGGCCCTGGCTTTGCTGCAGCAGCAGCCACCTCCTTGCAAGGGGCTTTGCTGCAGCCCCACATCATAGAATCATAGAATGGTTTGGGTTGGAAAGGAGCTTCAGATCATCCAGTTCCAACCCCCTGCCGTGGGCAGGGACACCTCGCTCTAAACCATGGCACCCAAAGCTCTGTCCAACCTGGTCTTGAACACAGCCAGGGATGGAGCATTCACAACCTCCCTGGGCACCCATTCCAGTGCCTCAGCACCCTCACAGGAAAGAATTTCCTCCTTAGATCCAATCTAAACTTCCCCTGTTTCAGTTTGAACCCATTACCCTTGTCCTATCAATACAGTCCCTAATGAAGAGTCCATCCCCAGCATCCCTATAGGCCCCCTTCAGACACTGGAAGCTGCTCTGAGGTCTCCACACAGCTTCTCTTCTCCAGGCTGAACAGTCCCAGGTTTCTCAGCCTATCCTCATCTGACCCATCTTTCCCCCCCCTCTCAGTGTACCAGCAGCCGGTGTCCCAGCCCTATGGCTACAAGGAGCCCGCGGCACCAGCTTCCTCCCAGCTCAGTGCTCCTGCTGGAGGGTGGGTGAGTACAGCCCTGAGCGCACCCCAATGGGGCAGGCTTTGCTCTGCTTGCCCCCCATGCGGAGGAGCAGTTGGGATGGGGTTGGAGGGTGCTTGGTTGTGGGGCTCCTCACCCACTGTGCCCATGGAGGGGCTCTGTGCCCGCTGACCCCTCTCTCCCATCAGAAGCGTTTCCGTGCTGTCTATGACTACAACGCAGCCGATGAGGACGAGGTCTCCTTCCAGGACGGTGACACCATCATCAACGTGCAGCAGATCGACGATGGGTGGATGTACGGCACTGTGGAGCGCACGGGGGACACGGGGATGCTCCCCGCCAACTACGTGGAGGCTATTTGAGCCACGGGGAGGGCATGGGGCAAGGGGCTGAGCCCCATAGCCAAGCCCCCAGCCCCAGCGGCCTCTCCGGGTGTGCGTGCGTGCGTCTCTCAGCCCCAGCATCCCGTATCCGTGTGCTGGGGTGTCACCACCTCCTGACATCCCGGTTACTCCATGTTTCTCTCTTGCCCGTTCAGCTTTGCTCTGGCTCTGTTGGGACCATGTGCAAAGGGATGCTGGGGGCTTGAGAGACCAAACGCTGCGGTTTTCCTTCTTTAGGCTCCCTCCTCTCTCGCCATCCCGGTGTTTCCTGGCAGGGGGAAGCAGCTGGGGTCTGGCAAAGGGAGGAGGAGACCGTCCCTTAGGACCAAATCCCCTGGTTGTGATGGGTTTGGGCAGGGGCAGCTGTATCCGCATGGGTGAGGTGAGGGATGCTCATCCCAAGGGATGGGGTGGCTGCCTCCACCCTGCGCTGCTCTGGCTTCTCCCGTTGCTTGTCCCGGCTCCTCTGTGCTGTGTTTCCATTCCCTCCTTGCTTCCTCCAGTCCTTAAAACAGGAAGAGCATTCCCAGTTAAATGTTAACCACAACCTTGGGGTTCAGAGCGGCTGCTCTGGACACTCTGGAAGCTGCCTCATTCCCCCCCTCCTGCCCCGCATCCCTCTGGGAGCACTGCGACACCGAGACCTCACGTCCCCCCCTGCAGCTCTGGGGTTCTCTCTCTGGGCCAGGGTCTGGGGGTCCCCTGGGCCTCCCTGGTGCTGGGGCAGCCTCTTCCTCTCTGCAGTGCTCCCAAATCCACCCCCACTCTTCCCGCTTCTCTCTTGCTGCTGCCCGGGCTCCTGGGCCCCTCCTGAGCCCTCCATGTGCTGGGTGGGTGATCCGGGGTCCCTGTGCCTCTGTGCGGGACATCCTCCCCCTCTGCCACCTCGCACTGGTCCCCAGCTATGGTGGCTTCTGGGGCCACCACTGGCTTGGGGTCACGTTGTGGACCAAAACCTCAAAGCACATCCCCATCCCCTTCTCTTCTGGGCTCTGAAGGCGCTGGGACAGGGGCAGGTGTAACTGGAGGCCTGTGCAGGGAGGGCAGGAGCCAGATGCTCTTCTGGGTTCCAGAAGCTGGATACCAGGGCCATGGTGATACCCCATTCCCAGCCCCAGCTTAGCCAGACATTGGGGACCAGGCAGCTGGAGGACATCACCCCCAAGCTGTGCTGCAGGGGCTGGGATGCTTCCAGGGGGAAGCTGCCACCTTTGCTATTCCCAAAGGAAAAGAGGGGAATCTAGGGACCAAAGCAGCTGAGTTGGGACATTCCTTGGCTCTGTTTGGGGCTGGAAGGGAATGGGGCACTGCTGTCCCATCGGGGTGACAGTGGGACCCCAGAGGAGGCCGGGATGGGCTTCCCAGGATGGGAATCCCGGTTGGTGCTAAACCAAGTGAGCACAAGAGCAGGGGAAGGGGGAAGTCACATCCTGCTCATCCCCATCTAAATCACGTTCTTGCCTGGGAGCGGGGCAGTGTCAATGTGAACCCATTTTGTAATGGACCAAATGCCACAGCATCCCTTTTAGGAATAGGGACCTTTTTAATGCTACCTTGGATCCGTTGTCGTACTTGTCCCCTCCTGTCCCCTGCCATGGGAAGTGAACCTCTGACTGCTTGATTTCTGCCTTTTCTCTCAACTTATGCACTTTTTTGCCTTTCTTCATAGCTGAAAAGCACCTAAACCTGTATTTAAATAAATAAAGACAGAAAAGAGTAAGGAAAAACCAACCCTCAAAAGCTGAATTGCTCCTTACCCTGTGTAAAATAGCCCTCGTCCATCCCAGCTGCCCTGGTTGCGTCTTGGTGCTGAGCTTAGAACGTGTTTTCTTCCGGATCCGTCGCTTGAGCGGGGTTTGTCCGCGCGTTCCCCTTCCCGACAGGGCTCAAATCCATCCTTTGGCCTTTTGAACCGACCCTTGGAATGGAACAAACCCAATGAATCTCTGCCCCGTTTACTCCAATGAACAATAAAAGTCTAATTTTTACCTGATGCTTGTGCTGGTTGTGTTCGGGATCGCTTTTCCTGCTCCATTGGGACACAGTGGGGAGGGGGGAATCTCAGCTCCTGGGAATGCTGCTGTGGATCTCGAGCACCTCCAGTGTTAAGGGGTATCCTCAGTGGGTATCAACAGGCAAAAACCATGATAACCAAAAGGCTTCCTGGTGTTGCTGCTCGCTTCAAACCGTGTGGCTCTACACTGCACTGCGGTGGGTGGGTGACGGTGGCAGCAAAGGATGCTGCTGTACCCTGGGAATACCATATGGAATAGTGGGAGTTTGGCTCGGTCCTGCCCTACACACAGGGCTCTGTGATGGCCAATTCATTTTGGGGGGTCACATCCCCATGAGCACCCCCCTAAACCAGGCAGCAATGGGGGGGGGAATGGAGACAAAGCCCCTCAGGAGCCTCCCCAGCATCGCCCTGCCCGTGCTGGGCTGGAGCCCTGTCTGACCCCATCCTTTATCCCTTTATTTCCTGCCTGCCTGCTGCAAAGCGGCTCCGTCAGCTCCGGCATCATCTCTGCATCCTGAGCGGAGCGAGGAGGGGAGGACGCGGAGCGGCGGCTCTGCCGAGCATCCCTTGTCCCCACAGCAGCATCCCTTCTCCCTGCTGAGCATCCCTTGTCCCCGCAGTGGGGAGCCCCCCCCGGCTCCTCAGCACCATGCTGGATATCTTCATCCTGATGTTTTTTGCCATCATCGGCCTGGTGATTCTCTCCTACATCATTTACATGCTGTAGAGCGGCGCTGGGGACGATGCGGCTCAGCCCCCGGGGTGTTTGCCAGGTGAGTGGTTGCTCCTTATCCCTTGGGGGATGGAACGCGTCCTGGGAGGCAGGAGAAGGGGGGGTTTGGGGTGAATGATGCTCAAGGAAGCTGAGCTGTTCGTGCCCAGGGCTGGAAGGAGGGCACCAGGCTTTGTTTCAGAGCTCAGGCCACCTCAGCCCGGCTCCAGCATCCCCTTCCCGGTTGGAAAAGCTGCTTTAAGAGCGCTGCAGCACGAGCTGTTGTTCCCAAGAGGGACAGAAATGAAACGGCTTCAGGGAGAAGCAAGAAGGGATCCTGGTGCCTCATTAAAAGGAGGCAAACGGGGGGGTTCGGTGGCTCTGTTGGCAACGGGGGCCTGCAGCTGCTGCCATTCCCCACATCCCTGGGGCCGCTGCAGCTCTTGGGCCTGGCTCTGACCAGCATCTCCTTTCTCTTCCAGAGCCACCACCGCTGCCTGCTCCATCTCCCAGGGAAGCTTCTGGAACAGCATAACCCCACTGCGAGGAAACGGAGAGCTGAAGGAGGGGAATGGGGTGGTGGGAGCCAGGGGACATCCTGCTGCTGAGATACGGGGTGTTCCCGGTGCTGGATGCAGCATCCCAGGGGATGAGGAAGGTCCTGCTCCCCCTCCCTGTGTGGCTTCCCTTGGGATGAGCGCTTCCGAGGGTTTAGCTTTAGAAAATCCCTTCTATTTTCAAATGAGAGATGTAAAATGTAGAAGGAAATGAAATAAAGAGGAATGAGACGAGGGAGAGAACGCGGCCGATGCCAAACGTGTCCTCCTGCACGGACTGGAGCATCCCTGAGCCAGGCACTGCCTGTCCCCCTCTTTTAGATAATCTCACCATAGCAAAAAGGAACATTTTTAATAGGATGGGAATTCCTGTGGGATGGAAAGAACATTTCAGAGCTTCAGTTCCCCCCACGAGGAGAGGTCTGGGAAGGTGTTTTGGGGCATCAGGAGGGATTTTCCTGTCCTTTTATGAGCTTTTCCCTGTCCTTTTACAACCCCCAACGTCCATCCCTGCTCCTACAGGCAGTCCCACGCTATCCTGTTCTCAGACTGGAAGTCTCATCCTCCTCAAAGACAAAATAATCCCTGGTCTCCCCTGGGATTATTCTGTTGTTAAGCCATAAACACCTGAAATCATGATGGGAAAAGCTCCTCGTGGTTAACCATTAGTTAACCACTGCAGCAGCGGTGCAAGCAAGTGGGATCCACATAGAACAGGGACCAAAGTGGTCGATGGGACCTTCAGAAGATGCTGTTTGCAGGAAGCAGGGGGATTTCAGAGCCTGGGAATGCTGGATGTGGTCGGTGCTGCCAGCTGAGTGCTTGACACGGCTATTTCCTGTTAGTAAAGCTCCGGAGAGAAAGCCCAAGTTGGTGACTCTGGTCCCAGGCGTGTCCTTGGGGTGCAGAGAGCCGAGGCCTGGGGATGGGGAAAAGCTTCTCCTTGTTCCACCACCAAATATAGTCGAAAATGGGAAGCTGGAAGTATTCTGGGAGGAATTTCTTCAGGCATAAGTCATGTTCTCACCAACCTCCCCTCCGTGGGCCTGTGTCTGATGTCAACATCTGCAGTGATTAAGAGAGAGTGAGTAAGGAGGAATGCGTGGAATGGAAACTCAGCTGAGTGTGAGACCAGGAACAGTCATTTGCTCTTACTCCAGGCTCTCCTCTCCCCTCCATGGGCCTTGCACACCCACCAGCAGGGTGGGATAATCCCTTCCTCCCTGTTCTGAACCAGCCAGCTCCGTGTTGGAGGGTGAAGTGCAGAAGGATGGAGACCACCAGGCAGAAGTGGCTGCAGCAGATGGGATCCGGGGCTCCACACTGGCACAGAGGGAATTTTGCTTCTCACCCTGGGAGGGTTTCAGCTCCTCGTGGCAGCAGTTCAGATTTGGCAGCTTGTTCTTCTCCAGGCTCCTCTGGATCCAGGGTTTGTGCTAGCCCAGAGGTGTTCAATCACCAGAGCAGATCAGACAGCGATGCTGGTGATACTGGCTTCAAGTCTGGTGCATTCCCAGTGCAAGCACAAGTGGTTTGGGGAGTCCCACTGTGGGGGGGCTGAGCTTTGGTCCTCCTCTGGTGGCAATGCTGATGGACGTATGAACGCTGCAGAAGCCAGCACTGAGCTGGGGTGTGTGCAAGGGAAAGAGCAGTTCATACTGATTAATAACACCATCAATAACTCAGAGTTGGCAGCTTTAGCACAACGGGGCCTTCAGCCTGGGGCTGCTGCCAGTGAATCAAAGAACTCCTGTGCTGCTGTGCTGGCCCAAGGGCATCCTTTGGGACAGGCTATTGCCACCGTGTCCTTGTCCCAGGAGAGGAGCCAGGCACTGGTGGGGGAGCTCCTCCAGCCTGGGGGTGCTTTGTGTCAGAGCAGTGACACACTGGAAAGTCAGTGGAGCAGGAAGGTGCAGGACACTGTTATCAATCCATTATTCTGGATTCCACCAACCAAGATGATTTATTGATGGCGATCCAGCGGGACAGTGATTGATCCAGGCTGTAGCATTCCAACACAGCAGCTCCTGGGCTGTATCTCCCTGTCCCTGTATGTGCCACAAGCATTTGCTCGTGGCAGTTTGAGTTCCTTTGGGATCAGTTTGGAGGTGTTCAGTTCACTGACAAAGTCTTGGACAAAGAGCCTTGCTTTTGGCTTACTTCAGAGCCAGTTACACGTAGTTGCAGTGCAGTTGTAGGAATGCAGCGTGCTCTTGCTAACCTTCCAAGAGCAAGGAAAAAGGGATGTTGGAAGAGATTCTGCAGACACTCCTCTCAGGAATGGTTTCACCTCTGCCATCTACCGGCACGCTGCAAGGATCCTCAGCAAACACATACACCATCCTCATTCCTTAATGGAGTCAGATCCTGTCGGTAATAGCGTATTCAACACGTTGAAGGATCTTCAACGTGCAGGCTGCTGTCACTGGTGAAATCAAGTGGGAGCAGCTGCCATCAGCCGGCTGTCGCCTGCAGCTGAAGCACTTCCGAAGCTAAACGTGGGTCCCTGCAGCTAAAATCTGGTCCTGGAGGAACACAGAAACATTTGGGTGGAGAAGAGGCTCTTTAATCATCGGAAGAAAAACAGCCACGTTGTAAACAACACAGAGTAAAGTAAGTGTGCTTTATTGTGCATCACATAGGCTTTGAAGGCAATATAGGAGAGAACCAAAACCTTTCCTAAGGAGCAAACATTTATGTACCTTAATGAAACAGTGATCTTAGCCTACGTGGGTTTAACATGTATCTACAACTCAGCTAAGTCCTACAACAACCCTTCAACAGCTCGCTTCTCACACAAGGCAGGCAGAGGGATCTGAAGTTTCTTGGTTTATGGTTAGAAGGTGCCTGTGGTTTGAGGGGGGATTGCCTTGCCTGATCAAAGGCTTTCAGGAATCACCTCTTCCTGCTAAAGTGGGATGTGGAATATAGAGAGTGCTTCTGTCCCAGGATTAAGAGGTAGTGAGAGAGACCTCTTCAGTGTAGCTGCACTTCTCTGCTTACATCTGCCTCTTTCTCCTCCGATTCCCAAGGGAAAGCAAAATGGAAAGATCCAAATATTTTTGGTTCTGAACTAAGATAACATTCTTCAATTTGTGTGTGCCCTTCAAACGTGGAAACTGTGTCATTTTTATTGTGTATGCAAACAGCCACAGTGGGAAAGGAATGCAGGGTATGTTCCCAAAGGAGAGGCCCCCAGTGCCTTCCTCAGTGCTGCCACAGAGCAGCCAAAGGCCCAGAGCTCCACTGCGAGGTCCCAGCAGCTCCATGAGCTCATTCCACTGGGCTGATGTGTCTCTGGCTCCTCCCGCTGCCACTCCAGCTCCTGCTGGAATGGAAGTTCCAGAAATAATTGGATACTGCTTTGAAAAATGCTTAGGAAAAAAAAAATGCTTTGGAAAATCCCAGCAGGATCTGAGCAGAGTCCGGCACACCCGGAGCGTCAGGCGGTGCTGCTGCTGGGGCTGACCATGCTCAGGCACAGGATTTCTTTATGGAAGTTCGCTTGTGCGTTGACAAGGTGAAACAAGTTCAAGAAGCTGCTGTCCTCTTCGTCACGATCCCCTGGCGGAGCAGAGCAAAGCAGTTAGGGATGATCAGTGACACGAAATTACTTCTTGAAGCTAAGTCCTACTCCCTGTGTGTTTTCAGCAGCCTCTGCTTAGATGTACGAGGCATCAGTTATGGCACCTAAGGGCAGCACAGCTGAGGAAGCACACTGGAGACTCTCCAACATTCCCTCATTCCCAGATGGACAAGAGCAATTGTGCATTAAGACCCAGGAGCAGGGTGTTCATCTCTCCAGCTTGTTACCATCAGCAGTCTGGAGGCTTTATGGAGGCTGACAAGCTGTGGTACAGGGAGCAACTGCTCAGAACCCAGGTTTAGGCTCAGCCCAGAAGGATCTTGGGCCCAACGCTTGGTGGGACCTGTTTTAGAAGAGTGTTGCCTCCACTGTCCATGGCACTGGGAATCTCTTAGGCAAGGGGGACTGGTTAGATTAAATGTCTCTCCCAGCCTGGTTTGTGTTGGAAGGAACCTTAAAGCTCATACAGCTCCAACGCCTGCCATGGGCAGGGACCCCTTCCACTGGAGCAGCTTGCTCCAAGCCCCTGTGTCCAACCTGGCCTTGAGCACTGCGAGGGATGGGGCAGCCACAGCTTCTCTGGGCACCCTGTGCCAGCGCCTCAGCACCCTCACAGGGAAGAGCTTCTGCCTAAGAGCTCAGCTCAGTCTCCCCTCTGGCAGGTTCAAGCCATTCCCCTTGGCCTGTCCCTACAGGCCTTTGGCCAAAGCCCCTCTCCAGGTTTCTTGTCAGCCTTTCTAGGTATTAACACTTATGATTACTTATGACATTGATTTTATGATATCAAAGCACTTGAGGCTCTGGTGGTGAGGGAAGAAGGAGGCTGGGATGTGGTGCCATGCTGACCGTGTTGCTCCCTACCCTGGTCAGTGCTTACCAGACAGCACTGCCTGGAGCATGTCGATGATGAGGTGAGCAAAGGCATTCTCCAGACACTGTAGGAAGTACTTTCTCTCCACTGGAGTGCTGAAAACTTTGCAGACCTTCTGCATCATTTTTACTGCCCAGTCCATGCAGTACAGGTCCTTCTCACAGACCTGATGGACATGGGGAACATTAGAAACACACCTTTTATAGTGGGAACAAAACCACAGAAGGCAAGATTAAATCTTAGCATTAAGTGTTGATTGTAATGCATGGCTGTAGCCATGGCCTGGAAAATTAGGGGTTGTTCTCAGGACATAGAGGTTGCTGTTGTGGTTGGCCTGCTAGTAGAGGAACTGCTCCACTTTCTGCTAGTGGTACTTCTCCTCAAGGCCAGGCTTTGCAGTGGCTGCAGAGGGACCAGAGGGTGAAAGAGTTCCCAAGCCTCTGCCAGGACTTACTCCTGGTACATAGGAATAGATGGGGCAACAGTTTTCAAGTCTGGGAAAGCAAAATGGGGGTAAAGAGACAAAAGGCCTGAGCATGTTTTGCTTAGGGGCACTCACCAAGGTCAGGAACACCATGAGCCTGGCTAACTCAGCCACTCGCCCGTTCACAGCTTTAGTGGCCATAAACGTGAAGCAGATGTTGTTTCCACTCAGAACGAGCAGCCGAGCATTGTTCTCCATGAGCCACTCCCTGGGAACCACTGCAGGAACCAGAGAGAGTTACAGCCAGCTTTGAACAAAAGAAAGGAGTGCCACAAGAACTGCTCTGAATGACATGAATCTATGAATCACTGGCTTTGATAGTTAACCAGGACGTGGAGGGGATACCCTCTGGAAAGCAGTTGCAGCAATGAAGTTCCTACCAGCAGTGCAGTTAGAGCTCTTCACAATAGCTTTCATGACACAACCTCACCCCAAACTAACTTTCAGTGTAGCTGTTAACATTGTTCAGTAGATGTTGGCTGGAACAACCATTATGTTTTCAGCTTACACAGCTTGGACAATGTTTCCTCACTAATGGCTAGACAAGACTTGAATTTTAAAAGGTCTGCATGGGTTCTTAAAATACTCCACAATGGGGAAAGACAGTCTGGATTTGTCAGCAATGCTGGGTTTCTCTCCTCCCCAGTACTCCCTGGCTTGATGTGTAATGGCTTTTCCATTTTTGCCTCAGCTACTGTAAGGAATATCACAATCAGCTTCCCAAGGCACCCGTGTGCTGGAAACGCTTCCACTGCCAGATTTTAGGCCCTGAGTGTATAATCCTATGGATTAATGATAAAGGCAAAACCACACCTGACAGCTCATCCACAAGACTGATGACGTCGTCTGCTGTCCATTCTCTAGCTCCTGCATCATACAGCAGTTTAATAGCCTCTGCTAGACCTTTCAGGCTGGCTTCATCTGTTGGTCCTTGTATCATTTTCTGCCAAAGCACATGTCCTGAGCAATATAGGAACCACAACTGCTGGTAAGTGACCAAGTGATTAAACAAACTCTGTAAATGACCCCCCACCCCAGACTACTCGCCATCAAGAGAGGACACTGGCCCAAAGATGATGTACAGCAGGCGAGCTTGGTTCACCATGGGCCATGGCTTCAAAATTCGGGTCAGCCAGAACGCGGAGTCGCTGCGATGAATCCAGTGGTTCAACAAGACTCTGCGACAGTACAACCTGATCCTCAGCTCCAGCTTCTGGGCACTTCCTGGGGAAAAAGAAGGTGGATATTATCAATACAGTAATCCTGATGTGATACAGATGACCACTTCCTTAATAGGAAGAAAAAGAAGGATTTTCTTAAAGCTGACCCAGGGCATCAAGGGGGATTGAAGGAAATTCTGGCCCTCTTAGGTACATTGGGCTAATTCAGGCCATAGAATCTATTGATGCAGCCTGTGGTACCTTTCTGCAGCAACTCGTGTATGGTTCAAGGGCTCTCAGCTGGGTTTTGGTTTCTGGGGTTTGGCGTCAGTAAATGGAAATAGGAGGAAGGTGCGTATGTGGCTGCTGATAGTGTCCCACAGAAACACCCAGTCCTGTGCTGCGTAACATGAGAATTTCTTGAAAGCTGTGTGCCATGTCACTGCTGTGTCTTGGAAACACTAAACCTGGCTTTTTACTCATTCCCTTTATTTCTGTGTTGGTTTCTTTCCTGCTGATTTCACTGGTACTGGTATACAGTCAAAAAGGTTCAAGTCCATATTACTATTTATACACACACGTAACTTACGCATTGGCTTGATAATGGAATGATTCAAAACACCCCAGTGGCTCTCAGGACAACTCTCTACACTTTAGGATAGGTGTGAAAGACAAAAGCATTTATCTTTGACGCTAGTGAGCAAAAAATAGCTCTATTCATCTACGTGAAGTATTTGCCTTCAAATGCCCATTTTCTGCCTAACATTGGAGCCAACAGAACATGTGTGAGAGTGTGGAAAGGACTGATGCTACAAGGCTTAGGAGAATTAAAGCAGTCTCAATTCTAGACACGTTTTGTTTGCAGTAATGGAGCTCCATTTTCTGCCTTTTCCTTGATAGTGTGTTTCGATTTGGTAGGGCTTTTGTCTGCTTTGATGATTACCTGGTTTGCTGCTCACAACTGTCTGTACTTTACGGCCTAAATTGCTCAGCTCCCAGAGGAAGTTAAAAACCCGGTGACACTCCAGTACATCCCAGCCTGCTGTTAGGATCTGAAGGTTACAAAAGAGAGGGGGTAAAAATGAGGAGGTTGAGCCCTAGATGTCCATCACAATGCCATTTCTCCTATTGGATCAATACAATCTGTCCTGCAGTTTCTCAGAACAGGGAGGGAAGGTGTCATACCTGGAGTGTGGTGCCTGCACAGCTCCTTCCTTATGAGCAAAGGGAAACCATTATCTGCTATAGAGGGGCTGTGCATTATGCCAGAGGTTGTGCTTAAGCTTAGGGCAGCCCAGAATCAAAAGCTGCCAATGGTGTCCCACATTCAGGGCCAAGATCTTAGTTTGGAACCTTATGTGGAAAAGTACAGAAAGGGATTTGCTACAGAGACAAATGTCCCAGCACAAATAATTGTCTGTAGCTCTTAACCACAGAAAGATAATACAGGGTTTGGTATCGTCAAATCCTTTCATGCTGCATATGTATAGAGCACGTGTAACACAAGTCTCTAAGACTTAAATGCTTTTTAAATGGGCTCAAGGTGCCTGTTCTTCTAAAAGAGAACTTCTTTCTGTATTTTATTTTACAGTTGCTCTCCAGTAAAGCCTCCACTATGGCAATTCCAGCACTTCACTATCAAACGTCTCAAGTAGTGTTAAAAAGCCCAACCTGGAGTGTTTTACTGCATCTTTGCAATCACAGTAGTCATTATGGTAAGTAAGCCTCTTGAGCTGTGAATTTGAAGCTGTGTAATCAAATCCTCCCCTTCTCCTGTGTCATCTTGGATAATAAATGGCTAATCAAGACCCAGACTGGTTGGGACTGAAATCCAAACCAAGGAATTCCCAAGTCAAATCAGCAACTTTAACAACCAGAAAGGAAATTCAGGGAACTGTGTGAATAAATACCTTCTGCCTACATCCCAAGGCTCAAAACCATCTTAAACATCTTAATAGCTTCCAAAACCACAGATTAATTTAGAAAACTGCCTTCTTTTTCTTTTCTATTTGGGATACTTGCCTTGTCTCCATAGATACTGTACCTGTAAAAATACCCCATAGCACTGTAATCCCAGACAATGCAGAGGACTTGGACAACCATTAAGTTTGAAACAGGAAACCTGGAAGGGCAAAACATTCGTGATTTATCTTGCTAGAAGCTAATTCCTGTGATTGAAAATTCTCTGTGCTACCTGTGAACATCAATACTGATTCAAAAGACTCAGAAGAGTCCCTTATTGTGTAAGGGAACAAATTACAGTCCCTATGTCAAAGCTTAGCATTAAGTCCAAAACTGTGGTCAAAAGGGTGTGCAAATGGTCTCTAAGATGAGCAGCCCTGTCTCCTCCAGGACAGTAACATTCCTAGAAGAGCTGTGCTCTTCCACTGCAACATTTCTAGTAGTTCACAAAGCGAAGAGAAGCTGAAACCCACTGCTCTTGGAATATGAAATCTCTGCAGAAAAGCCTTGGTCTAGGCTGGCTTAGGCTTTTCTCTTGTTAAAGAGACACTGATTTCAAATCAATAAATTCATTACATAGTAGTAATAAACTCCAGCAAAGGGACAGTAAAAGGCATCATTCAACAGTAAGTGCTTCATAGAAATGGTGTTGTAAGTGCAAGGGGCAATTAGAAACAGTAATGAAAGGACCATGAACTTACTCCTGAGAGAACCTTGTGTATGTACTTCAGCCTCTCTTTAGTAGGCAGGAGAAGCGTGCATCTTTTAAGCAACAATCCTGTGAGCAGAGCAAACACATACATGTTGTCAGTACAGCCACACAGCAGAGGTGCTCCTGAATGAGCAAAAGTGCTCCCATCACACATATCCACACACCATCCAGAAAGACTGCTGTGAGGCAACAAGAGCAGCACAAAGAGGAATTTGTGCTTTGGAGCAGAGGTGCAGCCTCTTGTAGCAAGACATCTTTTACTAGAGAAATGTTGTCAGGGCTTCCTAGGCCATAACTTGTTTATTGTGTTGTTGTAAAACCCCCGTTAGCCACAGTTGGAGCCCTATAAAAATGGTTGTATCTCTATTGGTTTTAGAATTACAGCAGTTAAAAATAGTGGGAAGAAATGTTACTCGTTGCACCTCTTCTAACAGTTCCCTGGGGAATGCTATCTCTATCACAGAGAAACAAGCTTCCCAAATTGTTTTCCAGATAGCCACATGCTCTAAAAGGAAAAGATTCTAAACAGTGTGAATGTAAAACATAGCTAAGGGGTAGAATTCTTTTTCCTCTACAGGGCTGAAATGGTCCATTTAGGATGTCCAAGTCTGGAGGTCATTATAGTGTGGAACAGCTACCCTACTGACAGAAAAGGGGTTAACAGCCTCCTCTTCAAAACCTTTTACCAGAATCATATATATGTATATACATAGTTAATTAATCAAGAAATCCACAGAAAAGCATGTACTTTGTAGTTTTCTAGGGGAGGGAATAAAGAGGAAACCTTTTTTGTCTGAATTGTCAGTCTCTCAAATAACACACAGCTTCTCCAATGTCAAAAAGTGCTTTCTGCATTCACTGTGGTTCTAAAGTGACTCTTTCTTTAGCAGGGTATGAGCATTCCTGTGTGACAGACATCATTTATTCATCAGCCCATGACAGCGTCCAAAGCTCAATCAAGTCAGTTTGCTATGGACTATAATAGGCTTTAGAGAGATGTCCCAGACAGACGCCAGCAGGGGGAATTCTGGTGGGTGAAAGGGTTGAGCAGAAGGTGCTGCTCCTGGGTTTGCTCAGCAGAAACCCCCCTGTGCAGAAGGACAGGGCCATGATCATTTAGAACTCAAGTCCATTTTAAACCATGGCTGGGATTCTGACCCCATTATAAGCACTGGAAGATTGTACTGTGCACTTGAGTGGAGCCAGACCCCTGTGAGGTTAAGTGACATTTATGTACAGTCCCTGCTCAGGCTGTCTGAATGGCAATGAGTTTTTTCCATTGTATACAGTCTTTTCTGCTGTAAAGTGAATATTGATTTTGCAAGTGACCTCTGAACAAAAACATACTCCTGAGCCTTCCACTGATGACACAGATATTGCCAGTGATCTTTATATTTTGAGTATGACATTGGTTTACTACTAGGCCTACTATAGTGTTCACACCTCTGTTCAAATCACAAGTTGCCATTTTGTGTGTGTCAAACTAATTTTGACATTTATTTTTAGGGTTTTTTAAAAGAATTGTAGCTTTTCCAGCTTCATTTTAAAAACAAACCACTAAGATTACTTTAAGATACCCCAAAACCTACAAGTATTATTTACAATAGGAGGTCTTTGGTCTAAATGACTTTAACAGCGTTCCATTGCCTTTATTTAATGTCTAAAGTTCAAACTGTACTTATAATTCCACATCTAACCATGGCATCATTTTATTTCTGTCAGCTATCAGAGAGGTAACAGTAAATAGCTGTCATCAAATCATGTTTTAATTTCATTTGCTTCCCTGATAGAACACCTTAGAATGAGTTAGAATAAGTGTGTTTTAAACATTAGCAGAAAAGTTAAAAAGCAAATGTGTTTGGATTTGAGGCTGCACAATGTTCCTCCTTACCACAGAACCCAGGTCATTCTGCTCTGGGTTTCTATTAGCCATGCCACAAGAGGTCTGAGCAGCTGGAACAAAGAACATGTGAATCTTTTCACCCAGAAAGAGCTTGATTAGCACACAGGACACCATGACAGCCAAAGCACAGACATTTTCACATTGCCCTTAAGCTGAGAGTGAGAGGAAAATGTGTTCTCCATGGCTTTTTGTCTCTGAACTCTGAGCCAGAGCTGCCAAAGAGAATTGTAATCACTGACAACTGAGAGAACATTTTTGTGACAGCATGCTTCTTTCCTAAGAAGTGGAATGTGCTCTGCAATCCATCTCAAGGAGACTGTCAAGCAGTCTTCCCGATGGCAACTGTCCTTGGTCACTTTAGAGTTGGGCTGGATTTAAGTGCTGCGGCTGCATTTCCCACACTGAGGAATGTGAGCTACTCCAGAGTGCTCCAGGAAGGCAGCCTGAGCAGCCACATTCCTTCCTTCAGGCAGTGTGGGGCCTGGGAGCCTGGGTTCCTGCTGCAGTTTCCAGTGCTGGTGGCCAAGCAGTCTATATTTGGAAACACCTACTACTGAGAGCTGATCCTCTGCCCAGCCCCTGCTTGCCATTTAATAGGGGGGGGAATAAAACCCGACATAGAGGAGGCAGAATATACATTATTTTTTCCATAACTAAGAGGCTTTGGAATCATTTCAGGTAATTCCTCCCACCTCCCCTGGCCAGCTAATGGAGCAGGCTATTTGGCACTGAGAGGAACTTCACTTTCAGAGGGAGCTGCACAAATGATTTGGGTTGTATCGTAAGCATTTTACTGATCAATGCAGAAAACAGAAGAAACCTTTTAACTGAGCTCAGTTCTCTAATCATTACCATTTGCATTAAAGGATCACCTAGAGATTTGTAGTGCTCTAAAATATAGGATCCTTCTCCCTTGCCAGGTAGCTCAAGGTTATGGAAGTCTCGCAGTAAGAGCCTTTGGTTTCCTGCTGAGGTTGAGATGTAATTCATAAGGTGGCTGCTGATGGTTTTCGACACCATGCTCAGCATGCTGATATCCTTCACTGAAAAGGCAAAACCCAGTATACTTGTAATTCTTCACAGCAAGAAAAAGGTTAGTCAATAACTTGATCTTCCTCAAAATTTGGCCAAGATATAAGATTTATCTCGTATATACCAAAATTTAAGCAGTTTATCTCTTTTGCCAACAAACTGGAGTCATCAGAAATGGAGAGATCTAAGGAATACTTTTAGCACATAATAGGCAAACCCTACTTCAAATAATTTTTCATTATCATTTACATTTTTGGTCATTTGTTTCTGCATACATAAAAGCTGAAAATTCAGAGAATAACTCACATCAAATGGCTTCATCCAGGTAAAAGCTAAACCACTTTAAATAAGAATGGCTTTTTCTAAATGGGAAACTTTTGTGGTAATCTTCAGACACTGGAAGTGAGATTTTTCTTATCAGATTCTCACCTGAAAGATAATTCAATATCATTTGAAAGATCTCTAGTGGAAGTGTTTGAAAATATCCAAGTGTTGACAGAGATTGGGAGTCTGTGTCCAAGGGGTTGCAGCCCTTTCTGGAGCGACGGGTGCTGCGTCTGTATTTCTGATTGGGAATCAAGGTGTAGCTGGTCCCTGGGGTGGAGGTCATTGTCCTGTCAGTCCCATCAATTGAACCTAGAGAGAAAACATGGAAGTCTGTTAACAGAGGAAGAAAATACCATCCCCAAACCTAGGAGGAAATGGCCGTGTTGTAAACACGGTGATGGAGCGTGAAAATCTGGTCATATGCATAAGATAAGGGTTTAGTTTAGTGCAATGACATTTAATTTACTAGATGATGTTCTAATTCCATGCCTCAGAGAACGGAGTATTCAGCTGCTTTTAAAGGAGGAAAAGATAAAAGCATGGGGGTCATCATTTGAGTGCGACATCGGGAAGATAGGAAAATAGCTCTGAAAGGAAACTCTTGAAGTACGTGTAAAGGTAAAAGCTGAAGTGGTTAGCAACATTCTCTTGCCTTGGTACACCAACTATTCAACAGAATAAGATAAAGTTCTGGGGATGTTATTGAAAGGATTGTCATGCTGCTTGATTCCTATAGTGATAGCTATTTATACACAGTTACACTACTTATACAAATGCTTGCATACAACAAAAAAAGGAATTAAAAGTAACAAAGTGATGCTTCAGATCAGTTTTTCTGCAGCATTTAAGTTAACACGTGGCTTAATTTCATATAATGACATATATATTTCATATGATGACGTATATATTTCATATATGTGTGATATACAAATGTGAACAACGAAAACCAGTGAGCCAAGCTCCCCCAGAATCCTGAGGGCCTGGAAGGAATGAGCTTTAAAAGATCAATGCCTAAGCTCTTTTCCTTTGCTTTCGGGTTTCTGAGTCTCTAGAACAGGCCCACCTCACCTTGTCAGGCAGCAGTGAGGGTTAGTGCCTCGCTGCCTCAAGTCTTATTCTTTTTAACAGAGATTTTTCACACTGTTGCTTGATTCCAGCAGCTGAGGCTCCAGGGGAATTGCCACGGAGAATGAGTGCTGCAGTGTAACTACAAGAGCTGGCAGCGCTGGTAGCAACAGAACTGGACCCCCTCCAAGCTGCAGTGCAACTTCCCAGTTGCCATCAGTGGGAAACACACTCGGAGAATAGGCCTCATTGTTTGGAAGATTAAAAATTGACAAAAATTACAGCAAACGAGTTCCAAACATCCTTCATGTTTCTTACGAAAGCCTGCAGAGCCAGACCTCTCTAATGTGCCACTGAGCAAAATTACCACATCCACAATGGAAGCACTGTTTGTCCTGACAACTGCAAGAATACAGGCCATTTCATTAGAAGTGTTACAAATGGGTTTGGCTGACTCGGGCCTGTGTGCTGGATAGAGTTTGCATTGTGCAGTTAAGGAGGTTACACTTCACTGGAAGCCTTTTTCATTTTGGTATGGTTTACTTCTAGCTTCTAAGCTCCAAGCTTAAACTTTCACAAGGCTCGTGAGCCAATATAACTGCTCCTAAAATTAGTGTTTCATTCAGCTTTTGCACTGCCTGAGACAGAAAACTGCTGTAACACCTTTAGGAACAATCAAGAAACCACTTCTAGATAAACATAGGTGTATATGGGTAAATGTTTACCTTCTAAAAGCAAAGGCTGAAGTCAGTTGGAAATGTATACTCACAAGTGTGGATTGAAGACAGCTTGAATACCTTGTGCACAGTGCACAGAGCAGCCCCACTCCTCTTTATAACCACTAAAATGCGTTCAAGAGAGGCTAAACCTGATACATATTTCAGATTCATACTTTAGACATAAAGTTGCAGCCCTATGCTACTTTCTTTTCCTCCCCTCTCCCCTTCCCGTCCTCAGCGGGACTGTACTTGGGAGGATTTATGGCATCTTACCTTAGGTCTGCAATTGTGTTATAGGGAAGGATAAAACCGCTTTGCCACAAGGGAGGTTTTCAGCTGAATTCAGCCAATTCTGGTCCTGTTCAATCGGGTCGAAGCTGAATTGACTCCCACTATTCAAACCTAGAGACGAGCTAGATAAATAGAACGTAAATAAAACAGACTACAAACAGTGAGTTTCAAAGCCAAAAGCTTTAGAGACTTTTACTGAAAGCTCCCATATGCTTCCTCTTTGACTTAACGTGGAGTTTTCTTTCTTAGGGAGTTCAGCCAGAGCAGGGCCATGGTGTGCGCATCCCCATCTGCTTGTTTAGAGAACTGCTTAATCCAGGCTGGAAATTGAAAGGTAAACGTTCAATATTTAACAAACTAAACGCAGAATATCAGCCAGGAAGGGCCATCCTATTTGTTGCTATAAGCTAATTTGTTTACGGAGCAGAAAGCAGCAACTCCCAGTGCTTCTTGTCCCGAAGCAGTCGCTAACCTCCCGCTAATGGATGCGCTGTTGTCCTGGTGTTTCCCTGAGCCCCCCTGTTAGGGTTTGGCAAACATTTATTGTTTGCTTTGGAGATGGCTTTGGAACATTTCCTCACAAAGAGCATGGAACCATTTGCTTCAAATATTAGCTCCAAAGGGGATTTTTTTCCCCCCTTATTTCTTTAGGTTTTGCCTTGTCAGTGCAAAAAGGCACGGGCTCAAGTGAGGGAGGACAAACCTCGAGGGCCCTGCTTGTCCTTGTACCCCCCCCAGCCCACACACAATGCACAACCCCCAACTTTTTCCTTACCCTAAAGGCATCATTACATCTTAAATACTTCACTACATCCTCAAATGACTTCCATGGTGCTGCTAGTGCAGACTGAAATCACCTCGGGTGGGACAGGGCCCAATGCAGAGCTGAGGGAACCGTGCCCCTGCTCATGGCGGCTGTGGTGAGGGAGGACCCTTCCCTCCAGGGTCTGCATGGAGGGGGAGCACAGACCCCTGCTTGCTTCTCCCCTCACACAGGGTTTGCCCTCAGACCACGTTCACTGGTGGATTAAGTTATATTTATCCTTCAGGTTGGATTTAGCCAGGCCATGACACACCTTTAGGCCGAAGGCCCAGCTAGGCCGCGCTCCCCTCCACCCTCCACAGCCCCTCAGCCCCCCCCCAAGAAAAAAGGGGGACCTGCACCCCCAAACCTCCCCCAGGCACTAAAAAAGGTCTCAAGTTGATGCTTGCTTACAGCGAGCACGATAGGATCCATGTTTTACCTCAGGGATGGGCTCTGTCCTCAACAGCCCCCCAGCCAGGGCGTCTGCGTCTGAGGGGAGCCACAGGGGTGGGGGGTGAGGAGACCCCGGGGGGGTGGGGGGAGGGGGAAGGAAAAGAGTATTATTATTGTCATTATTATATTATTATTAACCACAATTAATTATTTAAAGCATGATTTCAGACACCCACTGCTCCCTCGGGGGTGAAGGGGGTCTGGGGGTCCTTGTGTGTGGGTTACTGTTGAGCAGACGTGTTTGTGAACACACATAAACCAATGCAGCTCAATGGTTGTCAATGGGGCTGGAGGACTGCGGTGACCGGGGGCAGCCGAGGGGTGCTGCTGCGGCGCTGCGCCATTACCGTGCTTTAATAACCCCTTAATGACTTAATTTCATGCTAATTAGTTTGTAATCATGACTTTCCCGCCTATTCGCCCGCTGCCGCTTTCAATGCGGGGTGGGCGGTTAGGAAGCGCCTCGGCATCCTGCTGAATAATTAATGAGGTCCCCACCAATCCGCAGCCGGAGAGCGCGGTGTGGCCACGCCCCCTCTTGAATAATTAACGTCTGTGGGCAGCCATGTCAGCACCGGCGCACGGTACTGGTGGGGTTGCGGGTTCGAGGCTGGCCCCGGCTCCTTGTGGGGCGAACGGGCTCCCTGCGGCGGTTCGGTGTCCACCGGGATGAGTGGTTGGTGACGGGCTCTGAAATGCAATGGGGTTTGTGTGTGGGCACATGGGTACCACGAGGAGCATCTCTGTGGGTTATGGACGCCTATGGAATCATGGAATGAATCCCAGAGCGGTTTGGGTTGAAGGGACCTTAAAGCTCATCCAGTTCCAACCCCTGCAGTCTCAATCTCCTTTCTGGCAGATTAAAGCCATTCCCCTTGGCCTGTCCCTACAGGCCCTTACCCAAAGCCCCTCTCCAGGTTTCCTGGAGCCCCTTTAGGCACTGGAGCTGCTCTAAGGTCTCCTTGTATGTCTTGGAGCAAAGCTGTAGTGTTGTAAATCAAACCCATGGCACAACATCAGTCAGCAGAGGCTGTGCTGCATGCACCAAGCACTTCGGAATCGCTGTGCAGCGGGGAGGATGCTCGTGCTGTGAAGCAGCGCTGTCCCGTGGTGCTGCGATGCCAACACCGTGGCAAAGCCGCCGTGCTTTGTTAGGGCAGCGAACAGTTGGTATTCACTAAAAAGCTCGTTTAAAAATGATGATTTCCTTTTATAAACCCTGCCTCCGAAGTAGCTGCCTATAAATAACTGCTTCTGTCGGGGATAAGTGAGTGAAACCCTCGGGAGAGGTTTTCCTGCTGCTCCAAAGGCACTTCCCATACGATGGCAGCAGAGGGCTGCAGCTCGATTAAAGAACTGCTCCCTGTAGGGTTTTCTCCCCCTCAAAGACTGTTTGGGTTGGAACTTCATTGAAGGAAGAGCTTTCCTTAGCGAAACTGGAATAGAACCGAAGCAAAGGTCACCCCAACCCGAATGAGGAATGGTACGGCATCATTTGGTGTTATGATAAATGATAATGCTGCTTAAACGAACGGCGTCGAGAGTGGGGATTACGATGATGGAACCCCGATGGCAGGATTTGTGCTGAGACGGCATCATCACAGCCTGAGCAGACAGCGGGGCAGCACCAGCTACGTACAGCCTAAAGCCTTGCAGTGTCCCTGTTCCTTTTTCCATGTGGGATATAGCCAGCAGTATCCCTGCCGACTGTCCCTTCCTGCAGCTGGGTTGTGCCTCTGTTAACCCTTCACTCCTCCTCCTCATCCCCATCCGTTTCCTGGTCTGTGCCTCTGTTCCATCACAACAGAATTGCATTCCAGGAATGCGGGGATAAAGGATTTCAGGCGTGTTCATTGATGCCCAGACCAATGTTCCCAGTGGTTCCCCCACTGCTTGGGGAAAGAATATAACAAAATGGGTCATGTATGGAACATCCTGCTACAGCTTTCTGGTGTCTGACAGCGGTTTAAGGGTTTCCCGAGTCCAAACCCACATCCAAACATGTTTAGTGTGCAGTGATGGAGCTGCATTTAACTCCATAGTGATGGGCACAACGAAGGACCACTGCGTTCTGCAGTTTAATTGCATTGCAGGGTAAAAGTATTATCTCCTGTTTGGTTTAAATTGCTTGAATGAGTCACAGTTGATTTTTTGCTCTAATCTCGTCGCTGTTTGTAAACTGGTTTGAGCTGACAGGATGAAAGCTAATAAGGGAAATATACAGTTGAGTTGCTCTAAACTCGGGTGATGGTTCTGCTAACGGCTTATTCTATGCAGGAGGGGCTTTGCCTTGTGTACCTAATTTATCCTTACCCTGCCTACACTGAACGTGTGAGCATCATGATGTAACTGGTAAAAATACCAGCTCTGTCTCTGGTGCTCTGCTACTGCTGGGGGCAGGAAGAGTGGCAGTGAGCATGAGCCTGTTGGGCACTTAAAACCCATAGGAGGCTCGGAGGTAAATGTGCTGTGTGTGAGCATGTCATTAAACCATAGACTCACAGAGTGCTTTGGGTTGAAGGCACCTTAAAGCTCATCCAGTTCCAATCCCAACCCCTTCCACTGGAGCAGCTTGCTCCAAGCCCCTGTGTCCAACCTGGCCTTGAGCACTGCCAGGGATGGGGCAGCCACAGCTTCTCTGGGCACCCTGTGCCAGCGCCTCAGCACCCTCACAGGGAAGAGTTTGTGCCTAAGATTTCGAAGTCGTTTTAATGTGTGTAAGAGATGGAAACCACCAGCTCCTGGGATGGATGTGCCTGATACTTGCAGTCACCTTAGCAAGTGGTTCCAGCCTGCACTGAACACCCCTTTCCCCCCAAGTCTCTGTAAGTATCTCACAAATCCCAGCTAATTTACTATTTGTTTGTGAGAAAGGAAGTTATTCCCATCCTTCCTTCCCATGCCAAGCAACACAAAGACATTTAACACACAACTAAGCAAGGACTTGAGGAGCCCTCAGCCCCTGCTCCCAATCGCAACCAAAGCTTCATTCCCCATCCCTTGTAAAATGCAGCTCCAAAGCTGTGCATCTATTTGAGGTTTTATTCCACCACCCACAGGCCCTTTTGTAGAGCAATCTGCTCCCTGTCTGTTCACTGTGCTCTTCATTCCAGGGCTGCATCCTGTTGGAGCTGAGGTTACCTGGCCAGGGCACAAACCAGTGTTCATTTGTGTAATGGATCAGGTATTTCCCCCTTTTCCCTGTTTCTGGAAGAGGGTTTGAAAACCATTTAGGATGAAACCTATTTGCTGAGAGCTGGCTATTTATATTTCTGCTTATTTATATATTATAGGGTATTTGCTTATATATGTATGTGTATATATATGTAAATGGAATATATATATATATATACACTTCCTAATTATGTATCTGCTACTTCTCTCCTGGAAAAAATAGAACAAGGCATTGGGATAGTTGAATTCTGTTCTGAGGCTGGAATTAACTCTTAGCTATCCCTATTGTGGCTGTTTCCAGCCTGGAAAACACTTCTGAGGAAGAGGGGATGGGCAGGATGCAAGGGACTTGGGATGTTCAATGGGGAAATGAGAAGAAGCAGGTATATTGCCCCTTTTTCCAGTACTGCAGCACAGTTGTAGCCAGCAGGGACAAAGTTCTGCTTTGAAAAGGAAGGGTTTAGCTCCTTGAGCAGCATCAAGGCCAAGAATGGGAGCTATAGATGCTATGAAACAGCCCCAGGCGGAACATGGTGTGTTCCTGTTCACACATCCCAGCCAAGCAGCTGGGGTACCAGGAGCTGCTTTTATGACAGCTCTGTCCCCTGTGCACATCATCCTCTCTCAGTGTGTCTCTAATGATGTTTTCTCTTGTAGGGGGTGTGAAGCAGGACCCAACTGCTCCAGTTTTGGTGCCAGCTTGGCTATTTCTATGTGACACAGCAACTTGCATGGGAACAGCATGGAATATGGGTAAGTCCTTGTTCTGGCTGTGCCCTTAGCAGTTACTCTGGGTGTAACACACACAGGAGCAGTGCTGTCAAAGCTCCCACAGAAATCAATCTATTCATGGCACAAAAGCCATTCCCTACAGTTCATCATCTCCTTTCAATCACTGCATCATGCCAGTTTGTTCACACTCTTCATGTACAGTAGCAAAGGAAGCCCAAAGGCAGAGGTGCTCCCCAGAGCTTCCAGGTAATGACCCTGAAAGTGATTCAGGCTTTTAACTACTGTCAAAACCAGGCCAAGTAAATTATAGCCTTGATTCAAACCCCAATTACATTCGTTTTTATCCCAGCTATGTCCTGGGAACACGTCCTGATAATGATGTCTTATTGCTAAGGCAGCAGAGGACGTCTTCAAAAATCCTTGTGTTCTCATAGCATCCATTAAGAGAATACAAGAGGAAAATCACTCCTGGAAGTCCACATAACCAGAGCAGTCATTTTTGCATGTTTTATTTTCAAAACAAAGCAGTCCAAAAGGGAGATTTTTGTTTAATATCAAGACTGTATTCCATGCAGCTACTCCATTGTAAATATCCTTGCATTAAAAGACAGTTAAAGTGCCTTTAGTCCCTCAAAATAGTCCAGCTGTGCTGTAAATTCAAGTATGTGGAAAATAGGCCTTTAGTTATTAAGAGAATATGTTTTGATCAGGGTCCTGCTCCCACTGATGTCAGAAATGGGGGGGTTTAGCCTCCATTCCATAGGAGCAGACCCCACCTCAAGCTGGTCTCTGACAAACCCTGTGCTGTGTTTGCCCACTTGCTGAGTGGCCAAGGGGCAGCTCCTTGATGGCATTTTCTGCCTTATGCCCAATGACACACTCAGCAGTTGCACGGTGCTTGGAGAGACAAACGAGGAGCCACAGCACTTGGTTGTGGGTTGCATCTTTAACCAGCTGAGCACCGGGCTGAGCACAGCCAGCAGCCCGTATCAGAGCTCTAACTTACACAGGTCGATATACACATGTATGTTACGCAGGCTGAAGCAAGCCCAAACCCAATCCAGAGGGAAACCCCAGGATGTGGCTACAGAAGCCCCAAGATTCAAAGCAAAATCCAACTCTTTTCATGTCATGGTCCCCATCATCCTGTTCTTGTTCCAGCACTCCAGACTAACAAGATTAACCAGCATCTCGAAGTCAGAGTTTGACAGACAGGACAGGGATATTGATCCTGATGCTTCTGACCTGGTGCAGCCAGCATTGTACTTGCACTCAGCCTCTTCTCTTCAACCTTAGAGGAGCACTTCTTGATGGCAAAGGCATTTTTCTCCTTCTTCTAGGCATTGGCAAAGTTACCATTGGGTTTTCCTGAATTTAAGAGACAACCTCTTCTCTTCCACTCTTCCAGATGCAAACGTCAAGTGCTCAGAGCCAGACCTCACATCAAAAGGTAGGACAGAGTATTCTATCCTCCTTGAGACACAGCATGTAAGTGCCTTGCTTCTCCAGGCTGAGCACTGGGAGATGCTGGTTGGCTCCAAACCTTCAGCTCAGAGCATGACTATGGGCAGAAACATCTCCATCTACTCTACCCCTGTTAATGCTGTCAATGCTCTACTTGACAATACCCCAAACCATATTCCTTAGTGGAAGATAGGACCAACATCTGGTGCATGGCTGCAGAACAGCCTGCTTTGGTTTCTTTCTTTCCTTAAAGGAAAAAGGACCATTTGGAATGGCCTTTTTCCCTCCAAGCACTCAGAACTTGGCCTCTCCCCTCAATGTAGGTGTTTCCCATATCTCAACCATTGCTATGCGAGGCACTTGGATGTTGCTATTCTCCACCTGAGCATCTGATCCTCTTCTGAATCCTTCCAAGACTCTGTAGCAATACCCCAGTGTTTTCACACAGCTTTATACATCATTTAAGGTCTGTTTTCTTCTGAATTCACAGCATTTCAGAGCCCTTGGATGTTACCCAGCATTTCTAGGGCTTGTGGGTGAGGAGGGGTACCCAAAATCTTCCTGTTCCTATGTGTGTATGGTCAGAAAACCAGGCAAACCAAGGCCATTATTTGAAAAGAGTTAAATCCAGAGCAAATTCCTTACCAGCTCATAACCATTTCAAAGGAGATCAGATCCTGGGCATAAACTAGATGAAAGCATCCCTTTGAATTCTTTCTCCTTCAAGGATACAGGGGGAAAAGCAACCTTGCAGCTGAAAGCTGGGCATAAAGTTTCTCTTCAAACTATGTCTAAAGTGAGACTTTGTCTGGGCTAGAACAACTCGGCATGACTCTGGCTTAGCCAGTTTGAGCATATTGGTGCCTTTATGCCATAAGATACAGCCATATCTCCCTAGTGGCTATGTAGGAGATAGTAGAATCTGGGTGTAAATGCCACAAAGCAGCCGTGTTTGTCTTGAATGGCTATAGGAGTCAGCAGATGAGAAGGAAAACATGAATTAGACAGCCCCCTGGACCAGGCAGGGGATGAAATCTGCACCAAACCCATGATTATGGGAATAAATAACTGAGGATCAAGAGAAAATGAATTAAAAAAGGGGAAAAAGGCCCCATACACCCAACACTGGGGAGGGAGGAAACTTTTACCTTCCACTGGTCTTTGGCTTCCCTTGTTTTTAACAGGAGCTTTCCTCAGTTTAGAGCCCAAGCTCTGTCTGTGGAAGTAGGGGGGAGTATGTATAGCCTTAGTATGGAATAGTCTTAGTATAGCCTTAGTGTGGGATTCAATGGCACAGCAGGAGTAGGAAACCCTGAGAGGTCTCGTGTCTGAGCCCTTCGCTAGGGTCAGAGGCTGGAATCCTTATTCTATGCACAAATCCAGACCAGGGACCTATCACAGGCAAAATAAACCAGTGGAAGCAATCCACTGCCTCCAGAAGGCTCTAAACCCAGGCTATTCGATGGTGTGAAGCCACCAGCGTGTGCCTTCACTCCTTATTGATGTGCCATGCCCACGGAGGAGTTTGGATTCACTGCAGGATTGAGCCTGTGGGAGGACACTGTTTCACTCGTGCGCTGTCCCCATCCTCCTCCACCACATCCCACTCTGTTCCTGCTGGATTAGTGGCCACAGCACCAGGATGTGTTCCAAAGGAATCCAAGCTGTCTGCAATCACACAGTCTGCTTTAGGGCAAGGGTTATCATTAGGGATATAGCAAACTAATGAGATGCCAAAAAGTGCTTCAAAGCCATTGGCTCACAAACAGCCTGAAGGGGAATCCTCTACAGGGTTTTGCTATTAAGATAGAGCTGGTTTCCCTTTCTCCCAGGCAAGGGGTGGAAGCTGTTGCTTTGAAAGGAGGGGAGGGCAGGGAGTTGAAGGCAGCAGGCTTCTCAGCTGCAAAGCTCAATGTTGCCTGCCACAAAAGGAGGGGAGAGAAGAGAAAGGGATGGAGAGGGAGGAGAGGAGAAAGGGATGGAGATGGGAGAGAAGAGAAAGGGATGGAGAGGGGAGAGAAGAGAAAGGGATGGAGATGGATGAGAGGAGAAAGGGATGGAGATGGGAGAGAAGAGAAAGGGATGGAGATGGGAGAGAAGAGAAAGGGGTGGAGATGGGAGAGAAGAGAAAGGGATGGAGACTGGAGAGAAGAGAAAGGGATGGAGATGGGAGAGAAGAGAAAGGGATGGAGATGGAAAAGAAGAGAAAGAGATGGAGATGAAAGAGAATAGAAAGGGATGGAGAGGGGAGAGAAGAGAAAGGGATGGAGAAGGGAGAGAAAAGAAAGGGATGGAGACTGGAGAGAAGAGAAAGGGATGGAGATGGAGAGAGGAGAAGGGGATGCAGATGGGAGAGGGTTGGTGAGCCCTGGGAGCCAGCCTTAACCTCTCCTGGGCCACCACCAGCACCTCCCCAGCCTCTCCATGGAGACGAGTGAATCAGCCCAGCTTTCCTGAGTGCAGGCAGCAAAAAGCATCGGGTTTGCTGTCTCCAAGAGCTTCCTGCTTGAGGCAACCCCATGCTTTGCCCATAACAAGATTTCTTCCCCCCTTGCTGGCCCTGTAAGGCTCCCGGTGGAGGAGGGAAGAGGTCAGCCAACACAGTGGGGAAAAACCCAGCCACAAACCATAAACCCCACTGTGAGCTGAAGAGCTGAGTGCACTTCTTTCTACCCCACATCCAGGGCTACAGCCAGTCCAACGTCCACAGCCAACTGCCACCACTGCAGGATCTGCTATCCCGGGAGGAATCCAGGAAATCCAGCCCCACATCATCCCACCTCACTCTTCAAATGCTCCATTGGGTCTTTTTTTGCCCCTACTCGCTCTTTCTTTTCCAAGAGGGGAAAGACTTTGCAATAGGATAACAGAAGACTCCAACACTTGAGACATGGGAGGTTTGAGGCGCAGGGGGGAGAAGCGCTCAGCACTGCTCTGCTTCCACAAAGCCCTCCTTCTCCTGGCTGGCTGGTTCCACCTCGGAGTACGTTGCGTGGTTGCTGTGGTTTCGGAACTTCATGGCAGGCCAGTGATGTGGCCTTCGCTGGGGACAGAAACAAAGAGCCATCAGAAGCTATGGCAGAGCCCTTCGCGCCAAGCCCACAGGGAAGTTGGGATCTCGGTCCTGAAACAAGAACAGTCTTTGTGGAAGTCATAAATGCTAACAAATACCTTCGTGCTTAACCCAGTTTGTTCCAACACGTCCATCCCGCTGGGCTGACCCACTGCTATGGTTAAAATGGGGGAGGAAATGGAGGCTTGAAGTGAAATCTCACATCAGGCTCAGAACAAGGATGCTCTGTGCCCGGGGTGGCAGCTGAGGATGGCCACCACACACAAGCCAGCTTTGGGTGTCCTCTATCAGCAGAACAGGGACAACTGCATTGCCCCATCCCAGGTGAATGCATCCAACACTGCCAAGTGCTGCTAGACTGGTAGAGGCCACGTAGCTCAATTCCCTGCTTCCTGCCCTTGCAAACAGGGCAGATGGAGCAAAGCCAAGTGCTCAAGGAAAAAGCCAGGGAGCGATAAGGAAAGGCTGAGGGCTCAGTGATGCTCACTCCCTCCGCAGCAGCTCCTACGCCAGGATTCAGCCCACTTCTGCCTGCCTTGGGATCCTACAGCAAGCGGTCTCCTGGCTTTGAACAGCAGATGGAGACGGTTGGACCCCCATCAGTGTGTGAATTAAAGCCTTCCCTTTAGAGCCTTCACACCACCGCTTACACAGTAGCTGATGGCATGACATCTAGCAGGAAAACCTGACAGTTTTAGTGCCCAGAATCCAGCTGGGTGACTCAAAAGGCAGCGAGCTCAAGTATGTCGTGGCTCCAAGTGAGCCCTCCAACTGCGTGTTGATGGCTCCTGCATGCAGGTGGAAGAGCGGAACGTCGCATGGGGGAAAAGGAAAGGCAATGTGTGAAAGAGAGCATGTGAAAGGGAGCAAAATAACACCGTGTGGGAGGGGAGAGCCTAAGTTTAAACCATCATCAGCTGGAGGTTGGGAGATTAGCTGTGACTGTAGGACCACGAAAAGAAACTCAGTCTGGACTCCATCAACACCCCTCTTTGCTCTCCTGTTGGTTGGGATTTGGGGTGATAGCAGAGGGAACCGGGTGAGGGATCAGGCTCTCCACTCACCTCAATGAAGAAGAGGGCAGCGGTGGATGTGGGGTGGCTGTTGATGTAAATGCCAGTGAGGATGATGACTGCGATGAGCAGCACGGCCAGGACGATCCCCACGATCGTGCCGGTGTGGATCGGGGCGCTGGCTTGCTTGGAAGGAAGGCTGCTTCCCAGCCCTGCAAGAAAGGGTTCACTTCAGTCTGGAACTGTGCCGGGACCTCAGGAGAAAGGAAGGGAAAAGCAAGGGAAGAGCTTTCAGAGCTCTGCACACAAGACTGGGATCCTCAACCGGCTACCACCTGGCTCAACGAGAGTGGAGGAGGCACCAAAGGGCCATGCAGGCTCCAGCATCCCTTCCAGATGATACAAGGAGCTGGATTGAAGGCAGATTAAACCAGCACCATGCAGAACCCCATCTCCAATCTGTATGCTTTATAGACTGGCTGCTCACCCTGGTGGAAAGCCATTAGCCATATGCTGAGCTGGGGCCTCCGTGTGCCTCCCTTGCCCTCGGTTCTCAGCTATGAATAGACAAAAGAGCTACAGAGGGTGGAGGTGGCACTTGTGAACAGTGACATTACCACCATTATGGGAGCAGGTTGGTTGCAACTGGGAAGATGAAGCATTCTAAGGGCCCCGTGCCTGCAAAGGAGCCGATCCTGCGCCCAGTTTAACTTCCCTGAGCTGCTTCCAGGTGAGCGAATGGGCTAATGGTATGCACAGACTGCAGTGCTTGCAAACCTGATATTGGGTGAAGAGGGCTCAGATCTTTCCCATGCTCTGGAATTAGTCAGAGCCTTACAGCAACAGTTTGGTTCCTTGCCCTTGGGGCCGATGAGCAGACTATGAGTGAGAAAGGATTCATTGGAATAGGGATGGAAAAGGCAGAGCTGGGCTGAAGGACACTTCATATTTGGATTTTACGCTGCTTTTTGGCACAGCTGAGGAAATTCAAAAGGAAAAAGGACTTTGTCTGTGCAAAAACTGCAGAGAAAGGGAATTAAATGGAAAGAGAAAACTCATCATCTTCGTTTGCACAGCAGGGCTAAGCAGGAGAAGCAAACAGCACCAGGGTAAAAGAGATTTGGCCTGACTCTCACTTTCCTCTCTCTGCAATGGTATTAATCAGGGTAAGGACAAGAGGAGCCTTATCTTGATTCCATCCTTTCTGCTCCAGCTGCCCACCCTTTCCACCCTGCAGCTCCTGGTGGATTTGAGCAGGCCAGGGGAGGATGAAGGGCTTACCTTCACTGCCTGCATACTGAGTGAGCTTCGTGTCATCTGAAGAACAAACCAAAGGCAAATAAAGTTAGGAGGCACCGAGGATGTTCTGCAGCTTCCCACCCGCTCCCACTATGGTGTTTGCAGCAAGGAGTTGCTAATACAGAATCCCAGCCTGGTTTGGGTTGGAAGGGATCTTAAGATCATCCAGCTCCAACCCCTACCACAGGCAGGGACCCCTTCCACTGGAGCAGCTTGCTCCAAGCCCCTGTGTCCAACCTGGCCTTGAGCACTGCCAGGGATGGGGCAGCCACAGCTTCTCTGGGCACCCTGTGCCAGCGCCTCAGCACCCTCATGGGGAAATTAAGGCTTCTTTATAGCAGGTTCTCAGTCATGGTGCCCATACAGCCCCAGTAAATCAATGGGATGTTGTCACGCTATAGATGTCTTCCGTGGGGGCCCAAAATCCAATCCCATTTTCAATCCCATCCTGGAAGAACTGGGATACTCCGTGCAAGGCTTCACATCTCGATGGGCTCCACATCAGCACCCTCCTGTGTCCAGCTGGAATCCTACGGCTGCCACATGACCCATCCACAAACATCCCCATGAGCGGCTCCGGTGGGATGAGGAGGAGGAGGATGCAGGGGGTGGGTCCATCCTCTGCCTCTCTTGTCTCCAGATGAAGCTCACTGCCTGATGCAGCTGGGTGAGCGTTTGCTTCCAAGAGCACAAATGAGCTCCATGCCTGGCTCTCTCACAGAAAAGCCTCTTGTTCTTCTTCCAAGAACCAGCGATGAGTTGGGAAATCATCTCAACGCTGGTGTCGTGCTCCCCCCTTCCCTTTAATTGCTCCTTTCAAAGTCAGCTCTGTCAGCACGGGCTCCGTTCATCCTCCCAGCTCCTTCCCATTGCTGAAGGACGATTAGGAGTGTTCCTTTCTATTTATTCTAATTAGCAGTTTGCTTTAGGGACTATTAAGCAGGCAAATGGAAGCGATACCTGCCGCTAGGATCCGAGGAGCCAGCCCTGTGTTAATAGGATTATCAAGCTTTAGAACGTGGGTGTCTCGAGGGACACTCAGGGCCTTATGTGGAGCTTTCCTGTGCTGGAATCAACACCATTCCCAAGCAGAGGGCAATGACAACCCTGTGCTGTGTTATTGCCACTCTGTCCTGGCAGCCCTGAGGCACCAGTGAAGACCAAGCACATTAAAAGCATGAGCCCTATATACTGTATTATCATAGAATCATAGAATAGTTCGGGGTTGGAAAGGACCTTAAGATCATCAAGCTCCAACCCCCCTGCCATGGGCAGGGACACCTTGCTCTAAACCATATTACCCAAGGCATCGTTCAGCCTCGCCTTGAGCACTGCCAGGGATGGAGCATTCACAACCTCCCTGGGCAACCCATTCCAGTGCCTCACCACCCTCACAGGAAAGAATTTCCTCCTTATATCCAATCTAAACTTCCCCTGTTTCAGTTTTAACCCATTACCCCTTGTCCTATTATCCTCTGCTATGATGCTGGGGTTCTCCTCACCAGGTACCAGCTGCTTGTGGACCTTCTCAAACACTCAAACCAGCTGTGATGCAGCTGTAAACCTCTCCCCACTGATGGGTTTCCTCTCCTCCTTTGCCACATCATCCCTCTCACCTTCTCCTTCCCATTGCCTCCTGTACTCACCCCAACCCTTGTGCTTCAAAACCCACTTGTTATAGGATTTAATTGGCTAAGAATGAGCTCTGGAGTGAAAGAGCAGGGGTAAGCATCACTACCTTCTGTAGTGAGGCCGTCAATGAAGAGCGAGGACGTGGAGGTGGTGATGTGCTCATCCAGCGGGGAGGAAGAGCTCTCTGGAGGTGCTGAGTAGTGCTCACCAGCTGCTAAATCCTCACAGGTCTTCTCATCAGCCTGGGAAGGAAACAGACAGGAGCCACTTTCCCTTGCTCTCCTCCAGCAGGAGCATCAGTGAGGACCAGACCCTGCTTCCCAGGCTTGGGGCTACTGAGCCCGAGGGCTTCCAACACTGCAGTGGAAGCAGGGGATGTGGTCCAGAGGTATGGAGGGGGCTGACCTAAGGGTTAAAGGAGGAAAAGGTTGGGGACCACTTAAGCATGCCAAGGTCTGACCTTCTTGCATCACTGGGTGACCTTACATAGGTCCTGTGGCCCCCTTTCCCCTCACTCAACCCTCTCGGTTAAGAGGGAACAAAGCTGAGTTTTCAGAGGGAGGAAAAAGAAAGGAAACCAACCCAAAGCAGAACCAGATGTTTCCTTAGAGCTGATCTTTCCGAGACAAAGAAACTGGTTCATCCAGCGTGGAGATAATTGGAGAGCAAAGAAAGTCACAAGGATTAATTCCTTCATGCTTAAGAGTGAGTAAGAGTCATGCTTCAGAAGGTGAAGAAAAACACAGCCCAGAGCACTCCGGCTGCACCACTGGGTAACTTAAGGAGGTCTCTGCACCTCTGCTGAATGCCCAGCACCAGGGAAGCAAGAGAGCAGCAAAGCAAACCCTGCATGAGGTGGACAAGTTTTAACCATTCCCATACCCAAGTGGATCAATGGTCCTGCTCTAACGGGAAAGGGATACCCAAAGGGATGCTCAGCCTATTCCAGGCATGGGTTAAGTGGAGCTGAGTGTGACTTTTAGGGGATGCGGCCATTGGTTTTGCTGCAGATCAGCTTCATCCCTAGCAGAGGTCCTAAAAGTGCCTCTTGCCCCAGCCTCACCTTCTGCCCGCAGCCATAGGAGAGCCACTCCTCACGGTATCGGTCGAAGCCACTGGAACATCTGTGGACAAGAGGAGAATGAACCTGGGCCAGAGGACTTTGAGGGACACAGCAATGCTAAAGCTCCTTTGCCTACTGTGGAGGGCACTGGTAGGGATGCCCAAGCTGCACAAGAGCCCCAAATGCTGCCCCGATGGGTGTCTGGACAAACAGCCAAGGGCTGGGAAGAGGAGATATAGGTTGACATGGGAATGGTGTATCTCCTAATACAGCTGTGCTGGAAGGACCCAAATGTTCCTCTTCACGGAGGAGGAAAAGGGTCAACACTGCTCCTCCAAGGGAAACAGAGAAATGGGAAAAATATATGGCCTGACTTGGACTTTCCATTCCCTGGACCCTGCCATGGGCTGCACGAGGGTTTTGTGGGGTTTTTCCAGCAACATCTGCACAGGAAAAACACATTAAAGGAATTATAAACGAGCTCAGGAAAACACCAGCTCGAGAAATCCCTACAGAAAGAGAGGGAATGGAGGAGCACTCTGTGGGAGGCCTCCGGGGACACCAAGCCGTGAATCAGGGGGTCACAGCTCATACAAGCACTGATTTACCCAGCGACCAAGCAGGAAAAGGAGGAGAAACCACAAAAACCCCACTCTGGGTCCTGCTGAGTGGCTGGGATCTTTGCTTAAGGTGCTGTTCTGATGATAGTTATGGGCTCAGCAAGAGCAAAAGCACAAACCCCACTGTCCGGAGGTGAGTTATGAGGTTAACTCTGGGGTTAAATCACTGCATTCACTCCCTGGAAGCCACCCACCCCATTCCCTTGGGAAAGATCATGTTGGCTTTGCAAAGCCAACCAGCAAGATAGCAGCGGGCTTGCTCCAGCTCGCCATGAGTCCTGTCCGTGTGTAACCCCAGCTCCTCGGGATGGAGCTGCCAACACGCGGTTACGGCTGTGGGAAGTGTGGCCTTTAGCCAGCACAGGCAAGCATCTGGAGAGGGGCTTGGGACAAGGGCCTGTAGGGACAGGCCAAGGGGAATGGCTTGAACCTGCCCGAGGGGAGACTGAGCTGAGCTCTTAGGCAGAAGCTCTTCCCTGTGAGGGTGCTGAGGCGCTGGCACAGGGTGCCCAGAGAAGCTGTGGCTGCCCCATCCCTGGAAGTGCTCAAGGCCAGGTTGGACACAGGGGCTTGGAGCAAGCTGCTCCAGTGGAAGGGGTCCCTGGATCTGGATTGGAGCTGGATGAGCTTTGAGGTCCCTTTAACCCAAACCAGGCTGGGATTCTATGAAACACGAACAATGGCTTCAGTTTTAGAAGCTGGGGTTTGCAAACACCATGACTTTGGATTAAACAGGCCAGCAAAGCTCTGGAACCCTGAGGTTTCGGCCCAAACAAGACCCAGCCTGAGCCATTGACCAAACCCAGCTTTGGTTTTGCTACAAAAGCCACATCTGGTTTCATGCATCTCAGCTGCAAGAGCAGCCCCTTCCCTGATCCGAAGGGCTACAGCAGGGGGGGAACCACACTGAACCACACTGCCCTTGCAGGAGGCGGCTGGGGAAGGGGCCCAGCCACGGAGCCTCCCTGGTTGATCCGAGCTGTGCTGCCTGTGAGGATCTGTGTTACTGGGTCCCCTCCCCTGCCACCAGCTCCAGATACAGATCTCAGCAGAACCTCATTAAACTCCTGCTCCCCATCACGCTGAAGGAGAGCATGGAGCAGGGATGCTGCATGGCAGGGCCAGCCTCACCCCCCGCATCCTCTGGGCACCCCTAAACCAGCAGCAATAGTCCTCTGGGCACCCCTAAACCAGCAGCAATAGCCCTCCCTTTGCTATGTCTCATCCCCAGCAAGGAGAACATGGTAAGCATCCCCTTCTCTGTGACCTACCTGAGGCTGGAGCCCGTCCCATCCTCCCTGCCCTGCACTGCAGGCTCACATCACAGCCTGAAGCAGGACAAGTTTCCCCCCATTTAAACTTGCTGATTCACTAAGAAATGTGAATCTTGCTTCTGGTCCCAGCTTGTTCCAGTTGCTGCACTGAGACATCAGCACCGAAAGCCCCAGGGTTGGGAAATGTCTCCTTGTAAGTGGAGACCAGCTCAGAGCATCACCAGGGCTGTGAGCCTGAGAGCAGCACCAGAAAGCAACAGAGGAAAGAGAAGAGTAATAAAAGCCCATGAGCACTGATACAGGCACCAAACCCGGAGCTGTGCTTGCACTCCCAGCTATAGGAATGTGAGCAAGGGAAGAGGTGGGGAGGAAACGCATCGCTGGTACCTCTGCAGGACGTGGCACCAACTGCAGTTGAAGGTCAGCTCCGAGCTCATGCACATTTCACAGCTCTGATGCTGGAGACAGGCTGTAAAAGAGAGAGGAGACACAGTGAAACAGCAGCATCTGCATGGCACCATCCAGTGTCACAGCAGCATCTGCATGGGCACATCCAGTGAAACAGCAGCATCTGCATGGCACCATCCAGTGTCCCAGCAGCATCTGCATGGCACCATCCAGTGAAACAGCAGCATCTGCATGGCACCATCCAGTGAAACAGCAGCATCTGCATGGCACCATCCAGTGTCCCAGCAGCATCTGCATGGGCACCATCCAGTGTCCCAGCAGCATCTGCATGGGCACCATCCAGTGTCCCAGCAGCATCTGCATGGGCTCCATCCAGTGTCAGCAGCATCTGCATGGGCACCATCCAGTGTCCCAGCAGCATCTGCATGGGCACCATCCAGTGTCAGCAGCATCTGCATGGGCACCATCCAGTGTCCCAGCAGCATCTGCATGGGCACCATCCAGTGTCACAGCAGCATCTGCATGGCACCATCCAGTGTCCCAGCAGCATCTGCATGGGCACCATCCAGTGTTACACCAGCATCTGCACAGGAGCATCCACTGTGCACTGGTGCTGTGGGCAGAAGCACAGCACCAGCAGGTGAGTCTCTAACCCAACCTCTCTGCTATGGGCCTGCAGACGCCTCTCTAGCAGGATGAGCTCCCAGTCCATGTGTAAACCTCTTCCCATCCTGTTTAGCTGGGAGGTGAATCACATCTGGGATTTAACATCACTTCTATTGCACAGAGGGTGTTGAGCAGAAGGAAGGGACCGATACAGTTTAGCTCTCTGTTGCTGTGTCCATAGGAAGTAGCTCTGCAAGAATACCTCCATCTGGACAGGCTGAGCTGCTTGGAGAGCCCAACCCTGGCTGGAAAAGGTGGTCTGTCAAGAAAAGCCATAGAAACTGATGGTTTCCATGCCCCAGACCTGCCCTCCTGACCTGAATGAGCCTAAACATAGACCCCCCAGGGGAAGCAGCAGCCTCCAGCTCTCCCCATCCCTGTGGCTCCTTTGGAGATGCTGCTCTCAGCATCCCTGCCTGCTGGGGAAGACGGAAGAGCAGGGTTTAAGGGGAAGAAATGGAGTTCTTGCTGGGTGCTTATGATGTGCTCTGTGGTGACCCTGCTGCTGCTGACACTGTCACCCCATGCCTTAGGGAGGCCGTTTCCATGCATAACCCCGGTATCTCCAGACACATCCCCTCCCTGCCCCGTATCCATGGGCTTCTTGACGACTCGCATGAGTCCTTGCATCCCAGCACTACAAATGGGGCTGCTCAGCAGCATCCCGAGGTATTCCATCTGAGTGTGGAGGCGTCCGAAACAGCCCATAGGCAGACCTGGAGTGAACTGGTGTCCAGCGGGATGAGCTGCAGCTTATGGAGCAAAGAGAAGGAGCTCTGCAGGGTGGGCAGCTGGGAAGAGCAGGGGAGAAGGAACTAAAGGCCTAGGGTGAAAGGGGATTTGTTGGCCATCAGCAGGAGCAGTAGGGAAGGCAAACTGCCTGCAGAGCCCTCCTTTCCCTGCTTTCCCTGTGCCCACTGGGGCTTTGCTGCATCCCAGGCTCAATCCTGGCTCCGGAGCAGGCATCCTGGTGCACACATGGGATTAGGCTGAGGCTGGGTCTGAGCTGCTCAACCCAAACAGGGCTGTAGGCACGAGATGGCAGGCGTTGGAACTGGGTGATCTTAAGGTCCTTTCCAAGCCCAAACCCTTCTCTGTTCAGTGAGAGCCGTTCAGAGGCCCTCAGGATAAGTGGGGGACCCTGGTTGATGCTCCCCCTCTCTCCATGGCTCCCAGCCATTGGCTGGTGGGTGACAGCCACACACCCCCGGTACCCATTGAGCCTGCCTCCTCCAGCCCTTGGCTCCACACAGGAGGCTGCTGTAGCTGCTGGGTGAAACCATGGCAGGAAAACACCCTTCAGGGCACCACCGCATCGTCCCATCGCTGCGGTCCCCAAGTGTCCCCGTTGCCCCATTGCTGTGGTCCCCAAGTGTCCCAGGGCCTCATTGCCCCATCACTGTGGTCCCCAAGTGTCCCCAGGGCCCCGTTGTCCCATCACTGTGGTTCCTAAGTGTCCCTAGGGCCCCGTTGTCCCATTGCTTTGGTCCCCAAGTGTTCCTAGGGCTCTGTTGCCCCATCACCGTGGTACCCAAGCATCCCCAGGGCCCCATTGCCCCATCACTGTGGTCCCCAAGCATCCCCAGGACCCTGTTGCCCCATTGCTGTGGTCCCCAAGTGTTCCTAGAGTCCTGTTGCCCCATCACTGCAGTATCCAAGCATCCCCAGGGCCCTGCTGCCCCATCACTGTGGTCCCCAAGTGTCCCAGGGCCTCATTGCCCCATCACTGTGGTCCCTAAGTGTCCCTAGGGCCCCGTTGTCCCATCACTGTGGTACCCAAGTGTCCCCAGGGCTCCATTGTCCCATCACTGTGGTCCCCAAGCATCCCCAGGACCCTGTTGCCCCATTGCTGTGGTCCCCAAGTGTTCCTAGAGTCCTGTTGCCCCATCACTGCAGTATCCAAGCATCCCCAGGGCCCTGCTGCCCCATCACTGTGGTCCCCAAGTGTCCCAGGGCCTCATTGCCCCATCACTGTGGTACCCAAGTGTCCCCAGGGCTCCATTGTCCCATCACTGTGCTACCCAAGCATCCCAAGGGCCCTGTTGCCCCATCGCTGTGGTCCTCAAGTGTTCCTAGGGCTCTGTTGCCCCATCACTGCAGTACCCAAGCATCCCCAGGGCCCCATTGCCCCATCACTGTGGCCCCCAAGTGTCCCCAGGGCCCTGTTGTCCCATCACTGTGGTCCCTAAGTGTCCCTAGGGCCCTGTTGCCTCATTGCTGTGGTCCCTAATTGTCCCCAGGGCCCCGCTGTCCCATCACTGTGGTACCCAACTGTTCCTAGGGCTCTGTTGCCCCATCACTGCAGTACCCAAGCATCCCCACGGCCCCATTGCCCCATCACTGTGGTACTCAGGCATCCCCAGGGCCCCGTTGCCCCACTGCTATGGTCCCCAAGTGTTCCCAGGGCCCCATTGCCCCATCATTGTGGTACCCAAGTGTCCCAGGGCGCCGTTGCCCCATCACTGTGGTACCCAAGTGTCTCCAGGGCCCTTTTGCCCCATCACTGTGGTCCCTAAGCACCCCCAGAGCCCCATTGCCCCATCGCTGTGGTCCCCAAGTGTCTCCAGGGCCCCGTTGCCCCATCGCTGTGGTACCCAAGTGTTCCTAGGGCTCTGTTGCCCCATCACTGCAGTACCCAAGCATCCCCAGGGCCCCACTGCCCCATCACTGTGGTCCGCAAGTGTTCCTAGGGCCCTGTTGTCCCATCACTCTGGTACCCAAGCACCCCCAGGACCCCATTGCCCCATCACTGCAGTCCCCAGGTGTGTGTGACTCACTGGGCAGGGGAGTGAACTCCACAGCTGACTGGTTGCTGATCTTGCTGGTGTCCAGCTCCACGCGATGGTACTCGTAGATGGTCCGGCGGCGGGACTCTGAAACACGGAGCCTCGGCTATAGACAGGGCCCAAACCCCCCTCAGCACCCTTCTCCATCCTGCAAAGGGGGTTCCCCCATTGCTGCTGCCTCCCAGCTGGAAGGCAAAGGTGGCCCCAGGGCTTGGGGTTGTTCCTATGGGAGAGGAGAGGGTCTGGAGGCTGCAGGGCATCACGGAATAGTTGGGGTTGGAAGCGACCTTCGGTGCCATCTCCTCCATCCCATCTGCAATGAGCAGGGACATTCCCAAGCAGGATGCGCTGCGGGGCAGAGGATGTCGGGACACGCATCTCCCCATCCCTGTTTGCTGGGAGGAGCTTGGAGCTCGCTGCGCCCCTGTCCCTGAGCAGAGGTGGCCGTGGTCCAGGCCAGCATCGCTCTAAACAAACACATTTCTCCTCAGTGACTCACGGGGCTGTGAACCAACCCCTGCTGCAGCCGCTTCCCTACAGCCTCCTCCTTCCCTATTTCCTTCTCTTTCCCCACCATCCCAGGCCTGGAAGGGTCTCCCACATTCAGCTTCTCCCTGCACCCGCCATGGATTCACACAGTGGCACCAGTCAAGATGCTTCTCTGGCATCACGCTTCCATGGGAGGGGAATGAAAAGAGCCCAAGGGATGAGCAGGACAGAGCATTCCCCCCTCCTCTCCTTCCCTTCAAGCCTCGTTTCTTCCCCTCAGGAGCTGGTTTTGATCCCAGTTCTTGCCCTTCTTCTCCCCTCACCCCTTAGGGCAGGCAGGAGGTACCACGGGGATGGAGGCACATCCATCCTGGCCGAGGTTCACTGCTGTAAGGGGGTGATGGATGAGGAGCACATGGAGCTCCATAAATAACAGGGGAATAAAGCGAGAGCAGCAGGAGGTTGGGCTCCTCGTGACGAGCAGGGAGGAGAGAGGCTGGAAGAGGCTTTTTGGGGAGCTCAGCCCATGCCTGCAGCTCACGTGGGGTATAAGCACGTGCATGGAGCCCTCTTGCCTGCAGCACCTGGCCAAAGCTGGCGGTGCTCATGGGCCACGGTGGTCTTGGCCATGGAGAGATGGATCCAGAGAGAGATGGACCCAAAGAGAGATGGACCTAAAGAGAGATGGACCCAAAGAGAGATGGACCCCAAAGAGAGATGGACCCCAAAGAGAGATGGACCCAAAGAGAGATGGACCCCAAAGAGAGATGGACCCAAAGAGAGATGGACCCAAAGAGAGATGGACCCCAAAGAGAGATGGACCCAAAGAGAGATGGACCCAAAGAGAGATGGACCCAAAGAGAGATGGACCCCAAAGAGAGATGGACCCAAAGAGAGACGGACCCAAAGAGAGATGGACCCCAAAGAGAAACGGACCAAAAGAGAAATGGACCAAAAGAGAAATGGATCCCAAAGAGAGATGGACCCCAAAGAGAGATGGACCCCAAAGAGAGATGGACCCAAAGAGAGATGGACCCAAAGAGAGATGGACCTAAAGAGAGATGGACCCAAAGAGAGATGGACCCCAAAGAGAAATGGACCCAAAGAGAGATGGACCCCAAAGAGAAATGGACCCAAAGAGAAATGGACCCAAAGAGAGATGGATCCCAAAGAGAGATGGACTCAAAGAGAGATGGACCCAAAGAGAGATGGACCCCAAAGAGAGATGGACCCCAAAGAGAGATGGACCCCAAAGAGAGATGGACCCAAAGAGAGATGGACCCAAAGAGAGATGGACGTAAAGAGAGATGGACCCAAAGAGAGATGGAGCCCAAAGAGAGATGGACCCCAAAGAGAGATGGACCCAAAGAGAGATGGACCCCAAAGAGAGATGGATCCCAAAGAGAGATGGACTCCAAATAGTGATGCACCAGGGGATGTGGGACATGAGGGGTGTCCATGCAGCTGAGCCCCACACATCTCCTCACACTCCTTGCTCCCCACCATGAATCCAAGCAGTGCATCCTCCTGAAGTGCCCCAAGGTGAGGACATCCCATCTCTCCTTCCCCAGCTGTGATCCCAGCGGAGCTGTGGGATCCACTGCTTCCCTGCCCCAGCCTCCCCCAGTTCCCCCAGCACAGTGACCCACCAGGCACGTCAGGAGATGGGTTGAGGACCATGAAGGCATCGGAGAGCCCGGCTTTCACAGGGTGCTGGGTGGCACTGATCTGCAGGACCGGCACGGGGATCTGCAGCCAGGGAGAGAGGACTTGATGGAGGTGTTGGGTGTGATGGAGGTGATGGAGGTGATGGAGGTGTTGGGTGTGATGGAGGTGATGGAGGTGATGGAGGTGATGGACGTGATGGACGTGATGGAGGTGATGGACGTGATGGACGTGATGGACGTGATGGAGGTGATGGAGGTGATGGAGGTGATGGAGGTGATGGGTGTGATGGAGGTGATGGAGGTGATGGAGGTGATGGAGGTGATGGAGGTGATGGAGGTGATGGACGTGATGGAGGTGATGGAGGTGATGGAGGTGATGGGTGTGATGGAGGTGATGGAGGTGATGGAGGTGATGGAGGTGATGGAGGTGATGGACGTGATGGACGTGATGGAGGTGATGGACGTGATGGACGTGATGGACGTGATGGAGGTGATGGACGTGATGGACGTGATGGAGGTGATGGACGTGATGGACGTGATGGACGTGATGGAGGTGATGGACGTGATGGACGTGATGGACGTGATGGAGGTGATGGACGTGATGGACGTGATGGACGTGATGGAGGTGATGGAGGTGATGGACGTGATGGACGTGATGGAGGTGATGGACGTGATGGAGGTGATGGACGTGATGGACGTGATGGAGGTGATGGAGGTGATGGAGGTGATGGAGGTGATGGAGGTGATGGACGTGATGGACGTGATGGACGTGATGGATGTGATGGACGTGATGGACGTGATGGACGTGATGGATGTGATGGACGTGATGGAGGTGATGGAGGTGATGGACGTGATGGAGGTGATGGAGGTGATGGAGGTGATGGAGGTGATGGAGGTGATGGAGGTGATGGAGGTGATGGAGGTGATGGAGTGATGGAGGTGATGGAGGTGATGGAGGTGATGGAGGTGATGGACGTGATGGACGTGATGGAGGTGATGGAGGTGATGGAGGTGATGGAGGTGATGGACTTGATGGAGGTGATGGACGTGATGGAGGTGATGGAGGTGATGGAGGTGATGGAGGTGATGGACGTGATGGATGTGATGGACGTGATGGGCCCTGCTCCCGGTGCTGCTGCAGATGTCTCTGGTGCTTTGGTGGCACCGGGAATGCCCAGCCCTGGTGTGTGGTTGGCTACAACAGTGCCCCTCCTGCTGTGCCTTTCCCCAGCAGGAGCATCTCTCACCTCCTTGTACCCAAAGACGATCCTGCCGGTGCTGTGCAGCGCTGCCTGGAAGGTGAAGCTGCCCATCTCCTCCTTCCCCTGAAGATAGACCTTGTCCCACTGCACCACGAACACCGTCCCTGCAGGAGGGACCAGAGCGCATCAACCTCCTCCCCTCTGCTTGCTCCCGTTCCATGAGGACAGAGCAGGAAGCTGGGATGCTCCAGCAGCCGCTCCGGTGCGCACTGGGGTGGCTGGAGCTGGACTCACCGTTATCCATGTACTGGACGGTGGAATTGCGGGAGAAGCTGGGGTTGAAGTTGGCCATGAGGGGAGCCACGTACTGCGTGGCCGTGAGCATCCGGTGGATGACGTCCCCCATGAAGATGAAGCCTGAGCAGGTAGAGGAGGGTGAAGAGCGCCCGTCCCCTCCTTCCTTCCCTCCTCTGACTCCCACCTCCCTGCCCTGCCTCCCGCAGCATCTCCCCAGTGCCTGTGTGACCCCTGCATCCCCACAGCCGCTGGTACCAGCAGCAGGGCTGGGGTTACACTTGGGGTGCAGGGAGAGAGCTCAAAGGGCTCTCGAGGGCTCAGGGTTGGAGTCGATGATCTCCAGAGGGCCCTTCCAATCCTATTGATTGTGTAAGGTTGGAGCCAGCCCCAGAGCCATGTCCTCCCACTATGGAAATGACAACAGAGCAGGGACACCCCATCGCATCCCACCCCATCCCACTGACCCCATCACATCCCACCCCATCCCATTGACCCCATCACATCCCACCCCATCCCATTGACCCCATTGCATCTCACCCCATCCCACTGACCCCATCGCATACCACCCCATGAGACTGACCCCATTGCATCCCACCCCATCCTATTGACCCCATCACATCCCACCCCATCCCACTGACCCCATTGCATCTCACCCCATGCCATTGACCCCATCGCATCCCACCCCATCCCATCCCACCCCATGCCACTGACCCCATCACATTGACCCCATCACACCCCACCCCATCCCATTGACCCCTCGCATCCCACCCCATCCCATTGACCCCATCACATCCCACCCCATTCCACTGATCCCATCGCATCCCACCCCATGCCATTGACCCCATCGCATCCCATCCCATCCCATTGACCCCATCACATCCCACCCCATCCCATTGACCCCATCGCATCCCACCCCATCCCATTGACCCCATCGCATCCCACCCCATCCCATTCACCTCATCACATCCCAACTCACCACCGGTCGCTATCGTGACCTGCCGCAGGAGGTGGCCATAGAAGGGGAAGTCGAAGGAGAGGACGATTCTCTATGGGAGGGAGATGGGGTGAGAGCCCATCCCACAGGACATGGGCTGGGGTGCAATGGGATGGGTCGGGGCTCACCGATGCCTGTCGGTGCGTGTTGGAGAGGATCCCATGGATCTTCACTTGGCTCCTGTTGGCCGTGGCCAAGTCGACCCACAGCCCCCTCAGCCGAGCATCACCCGGCCCGTAGACCCGTGACACGTAGTAGCTGTGGTTGTCCTCCTGCGGTGACAAGGGATGGTGGTACCCGGCTGTCTCCATGGAGACCCCCAGGCAGGGCTCAGGGACCCCATCTCAGCACAAAGCAGCCATAAACCAGCACCCAAAGCCCCGTGTGAAGCCTGCAAAGGGCTCTGAGCAGTAGAAGGCGCAGAGAACACCGTGAGACAGCCGAGAGCAGAGGCCGGTTGGCAGGAGGGAGCTGTGACTCAGAGAGACCTCAGTGGAGCAGATGCAGCCTTCCCGGGATGAAAACATCCTGCTCCCGAGCCAGGGCTGGGAATTACACACGGGAAGGGAAGCCAACAAGAGAGGATGGGGAAACCCAGAGGAAAGGGAGAGCAGCAGAGAGGGAGCGAGGGGCTGAGCATGGGGACACGGGGCTGCATCCCCGAGCATGGCATGGGATGGGACACGGCTCCATGTGAGCGGTCAGAGCCCTCCTTGCTATTCCCAGGCTCCCAGACCCCCTTCCCAAGCATGCAGCAAGAGCCATCTGCAACCAGCCAGGGACCTGCAGGAGGATGCACATCCCCAGCATCTCTCCCTATGGACTTGTTCCCCATGTGAGCCCATTCCAGAGGCTGGGAATGGCCCATCAGCCCAGGATTCAGTGGGTAAAATGAGGCAGTAAAACCCCTGTGTTATTCCCAAGAGAGGAATTACAGCCCCATCCTGCTCCCAGGCCTTCCCAATGGATCAAGGGGGGATATAAGCAGGGCTGGGATTGTGAAGGACCTGACTCACTTGGGTGTCCTCATCCATCACCTTGCTTTGGATACAGCAGGAATGAAGCGAGGAGAGGGTTTGCACACACCAGTGAGTGGGGCAGTGCTTTGGGCAGGACTTGGGGATGGATGCTCAGCAGCACATCCCCCTTCATCCTTCACCATCCCAACATTCCAAACCTGGAATACTTTGGGAAACCCCTCTGGGCTGGCACCCTCCTTCCATGGGCCTGAAGATAGACGCAGTGAGATGCAGCAATGTCCCTCACCTGGCCCATGGCCCTGATGCACAGGCTCCGAGTGCCCCAGCAGGGAATCACTGCCTTTTCCTCCGGGAAGCACAATTGCCATCGCTCCCACCCTGCGGCCCCATTGCTGGGTTTGGGCTGCTTGGGTTTTGCCTTTAAACGCTTCCCCATCAGGGACTTTGCTGGCTTCTGGCCCTTCTCCATCCCTGATGCTCCCAAGCTGGGGCTCCAGGCAGGCAGGACCAGCCCCAGCCCTTTCTCCCCTCCACACCAGGCCACGGAGGCACCAATCCCATTGAATCCATGAGTGGCAAAACCACCATGAGGAGCCAACCTCCGCCGCGCATCCAGAGCCCTGTATCCTGTGATCCCACAATCCCACGAGCCCATCCCATAGGGATCAGCTTCAGGCAAACCCCCTCGGTTTCAAGGGACACAAATAACCAGGAGCTAATTGAGGGCAGGTAATTAGGCAGGGCTGGGATGGGGGAGCCAGGGCTGGTATCCCAGGAGGGACCACTGCAGCAGCACAGGCTCCTGCATCCCAAACCCATCAGCATCCCCCTGCGCATGTGGCAAGTGGAGCATCTCCAGCTCTTTTAGGATGGGAAGGGATGATCACAAGGCTCGGGGTGATGCTCAGGGCACCTCCTCCCTGGGCTGTAATTACCCTCCTGGATCCAGCCCCATGCATCAAATCCAAGCCAACATCTCCCTGCCCAGCATGGAAATAGCTCCCAGTGGTCAGGCACCGGCTGGATCCTGCTTTGGGGGGGACCAGATTCCCCCTTCCCAATTGTGGATCCCACTGGGGGGGGGTCCCCACTCACCACGATCCGTGTCTCATTGGCTGGCAGTGTGTCGATGGCCAAGCTGCCCCCCACCAGGTCCTGGCTGATGTGGGTCCCCTCGCTCCCTGGGCCTTCACCCATCATTGGGCTCCCATGGGGGTGTCCTGGAGGAGGATGGGGGGGCACAGGGATGGGTTATCAGGGTCCCACAATGGGATCAATCCACCCCCCCCGCATAGCAAGGCAGCTTCTGCTTGGGTGACACGAGTTTAGGGGGGTCTCAGCCCCCCATCACTGCAATGATGGAGGCAAAGGGAAGGGCTCCCGGGTGAGGGATGGGTGCAGGGATGGGCGATGGGCACCCATGGCTGGGGGAGGAGAGCTTCCATGGGGGGGGGGGATGTAAGGACACCCCACAGCTCATTCACACCCACACGAGGTACTGGGGATGGGGAAGATGCAGCTTCAACCACCAGCACCAGTGCCCGTGGTCCAGAGCCATCCATCCCCAAATCCGGGCTGGAATGGGGTCTCCGGACCCGGAGCATCCATCTCCTAAAGAAACACATCCCTTGTCCCCCCCTGCCCGGCTCCAGCCCCAGAGAGATGGAAAACATGGAATTGATTGAGGAAGGGGGGGTGTTGAACAAGCCATTGGGACCAAACCTGCAGGGATCTATGGCACTTCCCTGTGATTCCCGATGGAGCCAGGATACCCATCCCCAGTGACCGGGACAGCAAAGACACCCATGGGGGCTGCTCCATCACCCCCCCCTTCTCCCCATAGGGAGCTCGTTGCTGCCTGAGGAGCTCGGAGCCATCCCATGGGGCTGGGTTCTATTCCCAGCTCATCAGGGAGGGGAAACTGAGGCAGGGGGGGATCTGGCAGCCCCCGGGGTGGGAAAGGGGGCTCAGTGCTTGGGGGTCCCCATGGGGGCACTGAGGGGGGACCCAGCCCTCGCCGATGCTGGGGGCTCAGTGGGACCCCACAGACTCTCCAGTGTGTGTGTGTGTCCCCTCCAAACCTGCACCCACAGCCACGGGTGTGGGTCCCTCCGGGGTTAGGGGGTCAGCACCAATGGGGTTACAGCCCCCCCCCTCCAGCCCCACTGATGCACCCCCCCCATCGGGTCCCGAGCCCCCTCCGCAGCCCCTACCTGCGCCCAGCGCCGCGCGGAGCAGGCAGAGCAGGATCAGGCCCCCCCCGCGCATGGTGCTGGGGGGCGGCGGGGCCCCCCCTCGGGCCCGGTGCTGCTTTGGGGGGGGTGGGGGGGGGAGATGTCAGCGCCCCGGCATCGACCGGGACCCGCGGGAGCCGCGCACCCGCCGGGAGGGAGCGGAGCGGGAGCGGAGCCGGGAGGGGGGGGGAAGGGGGGGGGAACAGGGGGTGGGGCCGGGGGTGGGGCTGGGGGCGGGGCTTGAGGGGGGGGGGGAATCCCGGGATGTAAAGGGGGGGCCCGGAGATGGGGACCCCGGAGCGGGAACGGGATCCAAGGAGCGGAGCGGGGATCCCGGTGGGGGGACCCCGGCCCCCCCCCCCCCGCCACGTCTCCATCCCCGGCCTGGGGGGGGGTGGCAGCAGCGCAGCCGGGGGGGGTCCCACAGCCCCGTCCCCACTGCGGGCAGCCCCAACCGCTGCCGCCGTGCCCCGGGGTGGGGGGTCCTAAAGTGGGGGCCCCAGCACGGGGGGGGGGCGGCCAGGGTGGGGGTCCGGGAGGGGGGGATCCTTTGGGGGGGGGGTCGGGCACTGTGGGGGTCTCTGGAGGAGGTGGCTCCATCCTTTTGCAGGGGGAAGCGACCCCCCCCGTTGGGGTCACCCGAGGCTGCGGGGAGCAGGACACGAGCCACCCCCCCCCCCCGGTTGAGGTGGGTGATGGGGAGCAAATAAAGCGGACGGGAAAAAGGACCCCCCCCAAAAAGAGCATCAAAAGAGGGGGCACCCGGATTTGAACCGGGGACCTCTTGATCTGCAGTCAAATGCTCTACCACTGAGCTATACCCCCGCCGCAGTCACTGCTTCCTCACTCGCCCTGCAGCAGCGCTGCATCCAACGGCATCCATTGTGCACCCCCGCCCTATGGACACCCCTTTGTGCACCCCATTGAGCACCCATGACCCACAGACTCCCCCATGCACACCCCCCCTTCCGTCTCACCTGCCCACACAACACCCCCCCCATTTGCACAGCAGGGGTCGGAGGATGCAGCCCCCAGACTCATCGGTTTAGGGGGGGACACACGGGCCATGGCATCATCACCCCCCAAACCCATCCGCACAGAGCAGGATGGAGCCAGCGCAGGACCTGCCTGTGCGAGCACTGCAGGGACTTGGGGGTGCTGCGGGACCCCCGGGGGTTGGGGGGGGGGGATAACGGCACCATGTGGGGCTTCCGTGGGGCTTCCGTGGGGCTGGAGGGATTAGAGCCGGAGACAGCAGCGTTGTGGGGGGAGCACCCAGCGGGGAGCGGATGAAGGGAGCGATTGTCCCCATGGAGCGGGGTCAATATTTGCTCCCGGAGCCGCTGGGCAAACACGGAGCGAGCGGCGGCAGCGCCCGGGGCACGATCCGGGGGACAAAGGAGGTTTGGGGCCACCCCAGTGCGAGAGGCCCCGTGTCCCATCGGCCTCCCCCTGCTCCCTTTTTACATGGGGAAACTGAGGCACGAACCAAGGCTCAAGGAGGGGGTCATCTCCATCCCCACATCCCTGCAGCTCCAAAGAGGGGGACCCCGCAGTGTCCCTGCCGTGGGGACAAACCATGGCAGCGATGGCATCACTGCAGGAGCCAGCCCTGGGCTGCCCTTCCCCGCTTCAAAGTGTATTGGAGAGGTCGGTGGGTACCCCCCCCCCCCCTTCGGCCTGTTTGGGACCACACTGTCTGTTGGGATGCTCCGGGGGGGGGCCATTAGCGGGTTTGCCCAGCGCCAGCGCAGCTCAGCCGGGTGATAAGGGCCCGGCCATGCAAACACCTCGTTAGTGAACCCATTAGGGAAGGTGCAAAGCCCGTCACCCCCCGGCAGTTGTGTGTGCACAGGGAGGGGCACAGGGACATGCATGAAGGGAGGGGGGCACAAAGCAAACACCGCTCAGATGCCAACTGCGTGCCTGCGTTTGCCCCCTGTTTTCTCCTCCCTCCTCCCCACTGCCCGCTATGAAATGCGGGGGACAAACCCCAAAGCTGCTGTTGCCTGGAGGTGCTCGATTCCAGCACCCCAAACCATGGGGGACGGGACGGACATAGGGGCACCCCAAGCTGCACCCACCCGGCGCCGGAGCCAGACTGCACCGAGGGGGCTGTTTGCTTTGGGGCTGTTGCCCGCAGCGAGGGGAAGGCTGCAATTACGTTAATCCCTTAACCCCTGATTGCCTCCTCCTTCCCCATTAGGTGGGCAAACAGTTTTAGCAGCAGGGTTCATGATAGGCTCTGGGCTACAAATACCCCGTGTGCCCCCGGCTCGGGCACCCAGCGCCACTGCCAGCACCATGCCGATGTCCCCGGCCATCCTCATCCTCATCCTCATCGCCTCGCTCCTGCCTGCGGCCTCCGGGTACCTCTGGGCCTGGATGTACTCGCTGCCCCATCAGCCCCCCGAGGAGGCAGCGTTGGGGAGGAGCGCCAGCCCCGGGGACAAGGCCGAGGAGGTGAGGGATGGGTGCCCGGTGCGATGGGTGACGCACGGAGTGGGAGCAGAGATGGGTACAGGAGAGATGGGTTTAAAGAGGGTGGGAGCTGGGTCTGCAGCAGGGGCTGGGGCAGAGATGGGTACAGGAGAGATGGGTTTGTACCAGGGTGGGAGCTGGGTCTGCAGCAGGGGCTGGGGCAGAGATGGGTACAGGAGAGATGGGTTTGTACCAGGGTGGGAGCTGGGTCTGCAGCAGGGGCTGGGGCAGAGATGGGTACAGGAGAGATGGGTTTGTATCTGGGTGGGAGCTGGGTCTGCAGCAGGGGCTGGAGCAGAGACGGGTACAGGAGAGAAGGGTTTGTACCAGGGTGGGAGCTGGGTCTGCAGCAGGGGCTGGGGCAGAGATGGGTGCAGGAGCGGGGTTTAAAGGCAGGGTGGGAGCTGGGTTTGCCCCTGGGATGGGAACCGGGGCTGGGAGAGCACGGATGGGTCCAGGAGCAGGAGGTGGCTTTGCCCCTAGGGTGGGACCAGAGATGGGTACAGGAGAGAAGGGTTTGTACCAGGGTGGGAGCTGGGTCTGCAGCAGGGGCTGGAGCAGAGATGGGTGCAGGAGCGGGGTTTAAAGGCGGGGTGGGAGCTGGGTTTGCCGCTGGGATGGGAACCGGGGCTGGGTCCAGGAGCAGGAGGTGGCTTTGCCCCTGGGGTGGGAGCAGAGATGGGTAGAGGAGAGATGGGTTTGTACCAGGGTGGGAGCTGGGTCTGCAGCAGGGGCTGGAGCAGAGATGGATGCAGGAGCGGGGTTTAAAGCCGGAGTGGGAGCTGGGTTTGCCGCTGGGATGGGAGCAGGAGCTGGGTCCATGAGCAGGAGCCGGGGTTACAGCAAGGAGGGAGCCGCGCTTCCAAGCGGGGCGGGCGCGGCGGGGCCGGCAGGGGGCGCGGGCGCGGCGGGCGGCGCCGGGCGCTCCAGTGGCGCAATCGGTCAGCGCGCGGTACTTATAGGGCAGTACTCGAGCAATGCCGAGGTTGTGAGTTCGAGCCTCACCTGGAGCAGGACTTTTACGTGCCCCGACAGCCGCCCCCCCCCTTTCTCCCCATTGCCCCCATTGCCCCCATCACCCGCTCTCGCTCCCATTCGCGATGCGCGAGCAGCTTTTGCCCCGGAAGCAGGGATGAGGATGGGCTCTATGTCTGTGTCCCCCATAGGCAACACCCTGCGGGCCGGCCACCCCCTGCACCCACGGGCACTTCTGCGACGAGCACTTCGGGCTGTGCCTGCCCGAGCGGCCCGAGGGGCAGTACTGCCGCCGAGACACGCACTGCGCCCGCGGCCTCCTCTGCATGTTCGGGAAGTGCCAGCAGCCCGTGCCCGACGGGCAGGAGGGTGAGTGGGGACCGGGTTTGGATGGGGGACGGGTGGACGGACATCGAAGCATCACCCCTGATGGAGGGGGGCACCCACTGGTCCAGCTCCATCCCTGTCCCTATCTCGGGGACCGGCCTTGGATGGGGGGGGACATCGCAGCATCACCCCTGATGGAGGGGGGCACCCACTGGTCCAGCTCCATCCCTGTCCCTAGTGTGGGGACCGGCCTTGGACGGGGGGGACATCGCAGCATCACCCCTGATGGAGGGAGGCACCCACTGGTCCAGCTCCATCCCTGTCCCCAGCTCGGGGGCTGGCCTTGGATGGGGGGGACATCACAGCATCACCCCTGATGGAGGGGCACACCCACTGGTCCAGCTCCATCCCTGTCCCTATCTCGGGGACCGGCCTTGGATGGGGGGGACATCGCAGCATCACCCCTGATGGAGGGGGGGCACCCACTGGTCCAGCTCCATCCCTGTCCTCAGCGCTGGGACCGGGCCGGGTTCCCCCTTCCCTTAACGCTGTTCCCCATCCCCGCAGGAGCTCGGTGCGTGCGGGACGAGGAGTGCGGCCCCGAGGGGTGCTGTGCGCGGGTGCACGGCGAGAGCGTTTGTCAACGGCGGCTGGAGCGGGGCCGGAGCTGCCACGTCCCCCCCGGGGGGCTCGCCTTCAGCATCAACCAGCTCTGCCCTTGCCAGCGGGGGCTCGTGTGCAGGGCGAGTGCGCCCCATAGAGAGTGAGTGCGGGGCTACCGAGGGGGGGGCTACGGGGACCGGGAGCGCGGTGTTACCGGTGTGCGCTCCATCTCCGCAGGAAGGCGTTCGAGTACCGGCCCGAGAAGAGCGAGTGGCGGTGCCGGCAGCCCTGAGATCAACGGCTCCTTATTTATTGCCTGTAAATAGCGCGTCCGGAGCCGGCAGGAACCATCGCCCATCACCGTGGCTTCGGGTTCCTCCTATCCCCAGCGTGGAGCCGGGCGGGTCCCAGCTCCATCCGCAGCAGTTCCCGCTTTGGTTGGGCACTGCAGGGATGAGTTGTGTCCGGTCTCAGCCCTGTGTATGTGTATGTGTGTGTGACCCCCCCCCGCACACCAGGCACAGCCACGGGGCAGGTCTCACCGAACTGTTTATTACAAAGAACCAAGCGAGTGGGGCGAGCCCCCCCGTCCCCCCCAAATCATCCCCCCCCCCCCCAACAGAATAAATAAATAAAATACACTTTTTTGGGTCTTTTAAATAACGGTTCTGGAGGGACATAAATAGGGGGCATCCACTGCCCATGGGGGGGGGGACCCCACTGCCTGGCGAGCACCAGGGCAGGCAGGTCTCAAAGCACTTGGCAGCAGTGACACTGTGTGACCCCCCCCCCAAAGGGGAAACTGAGGCACACATGGGCAGAGCGGGGTGTCGTCGTCCCCCCCCCCTTTGACCCCTCCAAAGCTGGGGTGGGGGGGTGTGGGGAGGGGGGTGTCTGGGTAAGGCAGCGACCCCCATCAATGGGGCAAGCCCGGCCCCATGGGGAGGGCTGGATGTGGGGTGGGGACACCCCCATCTTGGTGTGGGTTGGGGGGGGACACACACACATAAAGGGCACCCCGGGGCGCAGGAGAAGGCAGTGCCCTGGGGGGGGACACACACAGAGACAGGCGCACAGACAGACACAGCAAAGGGGGGGGTTTGCCCTGTGCACCCCAATCCCAGAGCAAGGGCCCCCCCCCATAGGGCAGGCCAGGGCTGGGCTGCTGTTAGCACGTGTTAGACCCCCCGAAACTGGCTCAGATTTACCCCCCCCCCAAACTCAAGCAGATCCCCTCCAAGGCAAACACATGCAAACTGTGCCCCCCCCTTTGGGCACGCAGCACCCCAATACCCTGCACACACTGCACACGCATGCACTGCCCCCTCCCCAGGGTTGGGGGGCGCTGTGGGTCACAGCCCTGCAGTGGGGCAGTGCCAGGCTGTAGGCACTGCTTGGGGGGGGGGGGTGTGTGATGAGAGCAGGGCCCCCCCCCGGATGGCAAAGAGCACCATGGAGGGGGGGACACATACACAGAGCCCCCACCATGGGGCAGGGGATGGGCTGGGGGGGCCCATTTGGTCACTTGCCCCCCCAAAGCAGGGAGGGCTTGAGGCACCGCAAGATGCTGGGGGGCTGCGGTGTAACGGGGGGACACCCCCCATTAAGGAATGGGGGTCCCAAGGCAAAGCAAGGGCTCCCCATGGGGGCACAAAGGCAGCTGGTGGGGGTCCATCCCTGCCCGCACCCCCCCATCACCCTAACGGGGGGTGTAAACATCCTGGCCCCATCGCTCCCCATCGCTCTGCCCCATAGCCCGGCTGTGGGGCTCCCCCTCACCCCACTGCCCTGTGATGGGGTTCGGGGGGGGTGTGGGGGTGGCAGCCGGGGGGCGCCCCACAGGCTCCGGGTCCCCCGGTTCCATCTCGATGTCGGTGGCGCAGGAATCCCCGGGCTCGGTGCCGGCCGCATCCGCGCTGCCCGCGGGCTCCACGTCCACGGTGTCCTGGCGGGACAGGCGGGGGGGGGGCTGCCGGGGGGGGCGGCCGCGCTGCCCCGGCACCGGGTACGGACCCTGGTTAGGAGAAGCAACCACACCGTGCAAGGAGGGGGGGGGTAAGGAGTGAGGGGGGGGGTTAGTTGGGGGGGGGGGGCACATGCGTTCAAGCCCAGCCTGGCCTGCACACGCTGCTCACTCAGGACATGACTTGTGTCAGGTCTCAGCCTGGGGGGGGCCATGGTGATGGGGTGATGGAGAGGGGGGGTTTGTGCCCCAGCAGACACAGACAACACAGGACATGTGTGTGTGTGTGTGTCCCCTGCCATTGGGTGAGGATAGCGGTGGGGTAGGGGTCTGTGCCCCCCCCAAGCTGGTCCTGGCCCTCAGTGTGGATCCGCACCCCATGATCCCAAAGGGGATGGGGGGGGGGCTAAGAGGGGACATGGATCTCAGTGAGACACCAACCTGGGGGGGGGCACCGGTCCCATGGGGGGGGCAGACCCTGAGGGGGGGGGGATCCAAGGGATGGCCCCATCCCAACGGGATGCAGCTCCCCAGTGTGACCCCATTGTGGGGGGGGTGGGGGGGGTAGCACCGGTCCCATGGAGGGGGGGATGGCCCCATCCCAGCGGGATGCAGCTCCCCAGTGTGACCCCATCCCTCGGTACCCCCCCCTCCATCCCATAGAGGGCACCCTAAGGATGGTCCCCGGTGCCTGGGGGTGATGCTGCATTGATGTGGGGGGGGGTTCCAGTGTGTGTCTCACAGCGCGTGCTCCTCCAGGGCACCGGGGGGGCCGGCATCGGTGCCCCCACGGCCCCAGAGGCCCAGGTTCCTGCGCAGGGAGGTGAGCACCTGTACCTGGAGGTTGGAGACGGGCGCGGGGCTGGCGGCCAGCGCCGCCGTGGCCATGGTGCGGTTGAGCAGCGGGTTGGGGGGGTTGCTGCTGGGGGGGTGCGTGGCTTTCCAATAGGCCTCCAGGTACTCGGCCAGGTGCTCGCAGGCCTCCTCCAGCTGGTTCTCGTCCAGCACGATGTCGAACATCTCCTAAGGGGGACGGGGGGGAAAGGAGGATGTGGGGGAGAGCAGGGGCTATGGGGCTGGGCTATGGGGCAGGGAGATGGGGCAGGGTGAGGGCTATGGGGCAGGGTGAGGGCTATGGGGCAGGGCTATAGGGCAGGGCTATAGGGCAGGCTATGGGACAGGGTGAGGGCTATGGAGCAGGGCTATGGGCCAGGGTGAGGGCTATGGAGCAGGGCTATGGGCCAGGGTGCGGGCTATGGACCAGGGCTATGGGGCAGGGTGAGGGCTATGGAGCAGGGCTATGGGCCAGGGTGCGGGCTATGGGTGGGGGCTATGGGGTAGGGCTATAGGGCAGGGAGATGGGGCAGGGTGAGGGCTATGGGGCTGAGCTATGGTGCAGGGTGAGCGCTATGAGGCAGGGTGAGGGCTATGGGGCGGGGGGGGGCTATAGGGCAGCGCTATGGGGCCCCTGAAATAGGGGTAAATCCTATAGGAGCCGGCGGGAGGTGGAGCCTAAAGGATGGGGCGGGGGCACTAGTTGAACAGGGCGGAGCTTACGGGCTATGGGCGGGGGCCTATGCTAAGGAGGCGTGGCTTTTGAGTTAAGGGCGGAGCCTATCTGCGCGGGTGGGCGGGGGCCAAAACGAGGCGGGGGGCGGGGCCGGGGGCGGGGCTACGCACCGGGGGGCACTGCGCCAGCTTGTCCGAGGCCACCATCTGCACGTTGAGGTGCTTGGCCTGCGACTTCCCGCGAGACTTGACCAAGCGCTGCAGGACCTGGGCGGAGGGGCACAAGGACCCAGCTGAGCTCCGTCCGTCCGGTACCCAGCACCGGGTCCCGGTCCGTGTTATCCCCCACAACCACAGCCCCACCTTCGGGGAGGCGATCTTGATGTAGACGATGATGGGCGCCAGGGAGGTCTTGGCCAGCTGGGCAGGGTGGTTGATGGTGTCGGCATCCAACGCCACGAGCTGCAGCGTCCGCGCCAGCTCGAAGATGCGCTCGGTCTCGCTCTGCACCTCGGCTGCGGGATGGAGACATCGGGGTCAAGGAGAGGGGGGGACGGGAAGAGGGAAAGGGTTAAACCCCCCCCAAAACACCCCCCCACACCATGACCCTCTGATGAGCATATGGGGATGAGCTCCACAACTCATTAGGGTTGTAAAGGAGGGATGCTTCATTCAGCACTGAGGCTCCTCCAAAAGGATGCGCGCCCCAACTCTGCCACTCTGTTTCTATTCCATTGAATGATCAGCTAAACCCATGTTGAGCTTCACGCCTCATACATATGCAAAACCAAACAGGGTGTCCCCAACCCAAGGCAGAGAATGGGGGGCCAAAGGGATGTGTTCTGTTCCCCCCACCCCATTGTCCCCACACACACACACACACCAGGGGTGTCCCAAGCTACATACCCAAGACATCTGTATCAGGAGCAGGGGAGGAAGGAGCAGCGCGGAGGGGAAGGAACCCAAAGGAAACAACAGAGAGAAGATAAAAGAGGAGGAGGAGGAGGAGAGGCTGAAACAAAGGGGTTGGGGGGAGCACAAGGGACAGGGTCCCCCCTTGTTGGTCATAGGGACAGGAGGCTGATACAGATGGAAGCTTGGGATCAGTGTTAGGGGGTTCAATGGAGGAGGAGGAAAGGGGGGTCCCCATGGGGGTGCTGAGGCTCACCCAGGCTGGAGCGCGTGCTGGAGCGCTCGATGATGGTGTGCTTGCTGGGGTTGTTGAGCACCGAGCGCTTGGCCAGGGAGATGTCGGCCGTCACCCTCGTGATGGAGATCCTGGGGGATGCAGGGGGGGGGCACAAAGCGGGTGCAAAACGCACCCCCAATGAGCGCACACCCCCCCCTTCACCCCCCTCCTGTGCTGGAGCTGGGGCGCCCCCCAACAGCAAGAACCATGGGGCAAGGAGTTAAGGGTCACCCCATGGGGTTAGGGGGTTCCCCCATGGGATTAAGGGGCGCTCACGATGTTAGGGGTACCCTCCATGGTGATAGGGGTCCATCACCTCATGGAATTAGGGGTTCTTCGGTGTTAGGGGTCCCCCCATAGGGTTAGGGGTCCCCTTGTGGTGGTAGGGGTCCCCCCATGGGGTTAGGGGGTTCCCCCATGGGATTAAGGGGCCCCCACGATGTTAGGGGTCCCCCCCATGGTGATAGGGGTGCCCCCCATGGTGATAGGAGTCCGTCCCCTCATGGCATTAGGGGTTCTTTAATGTTAGGGGTCCCCTCGTGGGGTTAGGGGGTTCCCCCATGGGATTAAGGGGCCCCCACGATGTTAGGGGTCCCCCCATGCTGTATTGGGTCCATCCCCTCACGGTATTAGGGGTTCCTCTTTGGTGTTAGGGGTCCCCTCATGGGGTTAGGGTTTTTTTCCCCATGGGATTAGGGGTCCTCCATAGGGTTAGGGGTCCCCTTGTGGGATTAGGGGTCCCTTTATGGAGGGAAGGGTCTCCCACATAGTGTTAGGGGTTTCCACCATGGGATTAGGGGACCCCTCATGGGAATCACCCCTCCTTGGGGTGAGGAATCTCCCTGTAGCATCAAGTGTCCCTCATGGGCTCAGGGGTCCCCTGTTGCTATTAGGGACCCATCATGGGGTGATGTGTCCCCCATGGTATCAGTGCCCCCCCCCCCATGTCTCACCTGCCATCAAAGCGATGCTTCAGGAAGTCAAAGAGTGCTTTCTGCATCATATCCGTGACCTGGGCAGGGATGCACAGAGGGGTCCATGGCACCGGGGTCCCCCCCCCCATATGTCCCATTCCCCCCCATACCCCACTCCTCACCTCGTACCCCTTCAGCGACGGCCCCACCAGGATGATGGGGCGCATGGAGGGGACCACATCATAGGGGGGCACGTGCTCGGTCTGTGGGGCAGAGCTGGGGGTCACTGGGGTGAGCAGCACACGGATGGAGGGCGGGATGAGGATGCTCAGCTTCACCCCTGTGGGGGGGGGGGGATGGACACCCCCAAACCCATCCCATGGTGGGGCCCTCCCCAGGGGGGTCCTGTCGGTACTCACCGACTTCTGCTTCTGCTTCGCTACGCGCCGAGGGGCCGGGGGGGCCGGGGGCGAGAGGAGACAAACAAGGCATGCGTGTTACCAGCCATGGGGCACAGGAAGCATCGCCCTGCTCGGGGTTAGGTGCTGGGGTGCAAGCGGGGGGCTCACCCCCATTTAAGCCTTTGCAGACCCCCCCCAAAACACACACACATCCCCCCCATGGTGGGGCTGTGGTTGCACCCAGAGCAGCCCCCCCACCACCCCCAGGGTCCTGCCCAGCTGAAGGGGAGGGATGGTTCATTCTCATCCGCAGGGGGGTGAGGGGGTGACACAGCGGCCGTGCTGGCACACACCATGCGCACACGTGGGGAGCCCAGGCAATGGGGGGGTATGGAGTGGTCCATCCATAGGCCATGGGGGGAGGCAGACATGGATTCATCCATCCCATGGGCCAGGGGTTGATCCATCCATAGGACATGGGGGGAGGCAGCCATGGACTCATCCATCCCACAGACCAAGGACTCATCCATCCCATGGACCAAGGACTGATCCATCCCATGTACCACGGGGGGAGGCAGCTGCAGACTGATCCATCCCATGGACCAAGGACTGATCCATCCCATTGATCACGGGGGGAGGCAGCCACAGACTCATCCATCCCATGGACCAAGGACTGATCCATCCCATGGACCACAGTGGGATGCAGCCACAGACTCATCCATCCCATGGACCAAGGACTGATCCACCCCATGGACCATGGGGAGATGCAGACATAGACTCATCCATCCCATGGACCAAGGACTGATCCATCCCATGGACCAAGGACTGATCCATCCCATGGACCAAGGACTGATCCACCCCATGGACCATGGCCTGATCCACCCCATGGACCACAGTGGGAGGCAGCCACGGACTGATCCACCCCATGGACCAAGGACTGATCCACCCCATGGACCATGGCCTGATCCATCCCATGGACCAAGGACTGATCCATCCCATGGACCATGGGGGGATGCAGCCATAGACTCATCCATCCCATGGACCAAGGACTGATCCACCCCATGGACCATGGCCTGATCCATCCCATGGACCAAGGACTGATCCATCCCATGGACCAAGGACTGATCCATCCCATGGACCATGGGGAGATGCAGCCATAGACTCATCCATCCCATGGACCAAGGACTGATCCACCCCATGGACCAAGGACTGATCCATCCCATGGACCACAGTGGGATGCAGCCACAGACTCATCCATCCCATGGACCAAGGACTGATCCACCCCATGGACCACAGTGGGATGCAGCCACAGACTCATCCATCCCATGGACCAAGGACTGATCCATCCCATGGACCATGGGGAGATGCAGCCATGGACTGATCCATCCCATGGACCAAGGACTGATCCATCCCATGGACCATGGGGAGATGCAGCCATAGACTCATCCATCCCATGGACCAAGGACTGATCCACCCCATGGACCATGGCCTGATCCATCCCATGGACCACAGTGGGATGCAGCCACAGACTCATCCATCCCATGGACCATGGCCTGATCCATCCCATGGACCACAGGGGGATGCAGCCACAGACTCATCCATCCCATGGACCATGGACTGATCCATCCCATGGACCACAGTGGGATGCAGCCACGGCCCGCTCCACCCCATGGCCGGTGGGGGAGGCAGTGTTAGGGCAGGCAGGGTGCAGCAGGCGAGCACGGGGCCCGGCGGGTGCCGTTACCTTCCTAAAGAAGGGGATGCGCTTGTTGTGGGCTGGGGGGGTGGTGACACTGCTCACGCTACTCTTAGGGGAGCGGTGGGTCTCCATGGCCGCCTCCTCCTCCTCTAACTCATCGGGGTCAAAGGCAAAGCTAGGCATGTCCAGGGCACCTGGGGACCGGGATGGGGGGCAACCGGAGCAGGGGATGGGAGAGAAGAAGAGCGATGATGGCGATGGAAGAAGGGGAACATGGAGGTGTGGGGATGGTGGGAAGAGCAGGAGGGGATGGGGATGGAGATAGGGAAGGGGTGCACCCGCCTGCCTGCACCGGAGCTATGGATAAGAAGGGGGGGTCCGACACCCTTACCGCTGGCTGGGGGGGTCGGCCGGCGCGTCCCCGTCACCGCATCACCCAGGCTGGAGCTGGAGTTGTCGCCTGATTTGCTGCATGGAGAAGCATGGGATTGGGATGGGGATGGATAAGGATGGGGGTTTGGGGGGGGGGGTAGCACCTCCCATAGCTGGGATAGGAGCCCCCCCCCATTGGATGGGGCGCACCTGGAGCTCAGGCGGTTCTGCCTCATCTTCTGCTCCTGCAGCAGCCTCATGGTGTCCAGCTTGACGGGGCTGGGGATGAAGCCGACCTCGCAGCCCTCCTTCACCAGGCGCCCGATCCACCAGTCATTGTTGTACTTCTGGGGGGGGGGGAACCCATGAGAACCCCAATTCCTGCTGCTCCATCACCCCCAAATCACCCCGCGCCCACCTCCTTGATGTGCAGGAAGTCCTTGGGCTCGAAGCAGATGGCCATGCCCTGCACCGGGACATCATCGCCGGCTGAGGGGTTGTACCCGACGTTGGTCCGGACGGCGAACGCCACCGGCTTCGTCTGGCAATGGGACAGGGATCAGCACCTTCTACACCACCCACACCTCCCAGCAGCCACAGGGAGCTGGGGGCACTGGGAGCCATGGGTGCCCTGCACAGCCCCGCACTGGGGCACCAATGGGGCGGTGAAGAGGGGCTCACTGCATGGAGTAAAGGGAGAATGTGGGATCCCAGTGCCTCCCAGTGCACCCGCTGCTGCCCAGTGCACCCCAGTGCACCCAGTGCTTCCCAGTGCACACCAGTGCACCCAGTGCACTCAGTGCCTCCCAGTGCACCCACTGTTCCCCAGTGCTTCCCAGCGCACCCCAGTGCTTCCCATTGCACCCAGTGCCACCCGGAGCAACCCCTGCTCCCCAGTGCATCACAGTGCTTTCCAGTGCCACGAAGTGCACCCATTGTCACCCAGTGCACCCCCTGCTCCTCAGTGCCCCCACTGCTCCCCAGTGCTACCCAGTGCACCCACTGCTTCCTAGTGGCACCCAGTGCCCTCTAGTGCCAGCCCTGCTCCCCACTGCTCCCAGTGCACCCCCTGCTCCCCAGTGCCATCCAATGCACCCAGTGCACCCACTGCCACCCCCTGCCCCAAGTGCTCTCCAGTGTACCCACTGTTCCCCAGTGTACCCATTGCTCCCCAGTGCCTCCAAGTGCATCCCCTGCTCCCCATTGCACCCAGTGGACCCACTGCTTCCTAGTGCCACTCAGTGCCCTCCAGTGCTACCCCTGCTCCCCACTACATGCAGTGCCCCCCAGTGATCTCCAGTGCACCCACTGCTCCCCAGTGCAACCATTGCTCCCCAGTGCCTCTCAGTGCCCCCCAGTGCACCCACTGCTCCCCAGTGCTACCCAGTGCACCCAGTGCCACCCCCTGCTTCCAGGTGCACCCAGTGCCACCCACTGCTCCCCACTGCTCCCCAGTGCACCCAGTGCCACCCACTGCTCCCCAGTGCTACCCAGTGCACCCAGTGCCACCCACTGCTCCCCAGTGCACCCAATGCACCCACTGCTCCCCAGTGCTACCCAGTGCACCCACTGCTCCCCAGTGCTACCCAGTGCACCCAGTGCACCCACTGCTCCCCAGTGCAACCATTGCTCCCCAGTGCACCCAGTGCTCCTCAGTGCCACCCACTGCTCCCCAGTGCACCCACTGCTCCCCACTGCCTCCACCGCAGTCGATGCTGTGGGGCAGGGTCCGGACCCCCCCCCCTTTCCCACCTTGGCTTTCTCGAGCTGGGCCATGGCCTGGAGCTCCGCCTCCCTGCGCAGCGCCTCGCGGTCCTCCTCCAGCGACACATCCGAGTCCGACGGGCGGCTCGTGTAGGACTCGGCCGAGCCCTGCGGGGGGGACCGGGACCGGGACCGGGACCGGGACCGGACGGGACGGGGTCAGTGCCCCCCCCCCCATCAGCACCCAGCACCCATCCCCCCCAACCCCGTGTCCATGGGGGGGGGGACACGAACCCGGACCCCCCCCAGCGCTGCCCCACGGATCCGGTCCCCGCGGTGATGGGAGCCGCAGCCGCCCCCAGCGCTCCCGCAGGGAACCGGAACCGGAGGAGCCCCCCCCTCCCTTTGGAATGAATTGGGGGACCCCCCCCCTTTGCACCTCCCCATTGCTCCCACTCCCATTGGCAGCGCTGCCCCCCCCCCCCCATGGCAATGGGGTCATCCCAGGACATGACTTGGAAGGGGTCAGAGCCCCCCCTAACCCACAGCAACCCCCAGCCCCATGGCAATGGGGGCTGCAGGGGAGGGCGAAGGCACCTGGGTGCCCCCCAAGTCCCTCCAGACCCCCCCCTACCCATGGGGTTGTGGGATCCCCAATTTACCCCATGGAGGTGTTTAGGGGGGGGTGCTCCCCTTCACCCCAACCCCAACCATGGGTCAGCAATTGGAGACACCCCCCCCCCCATCCCAAATATATGGGGCAGGGAGACCAAGGGCTCAGCCCTGAGCCCTATGGCGAGGCTTTAAGGGGGGCAGAGGGGAGACCCTCACCCCACACCCGCCATGGGGATGGGGACCGAGGGGTGCTGGGGGGGGGCAGAGGCTCACCGGGGCAGCGGGGGGCTCTTTACCGGGTACCTCCATGGCTGTGGGGCCGGGGCGAGCGCTGGGCACCCGCTCAGGTTTCAACCCTGGGTATATTTAGCCCAGAGCCGGGCAGGGGTGGGGGCCACGGGGGGGGGGGGGGAGAGACCAAATAGGGCCCAATATGGGGGGGACACATTGGGAAAGGGATGCAGGACCCCAATATGGGGATGCAGGACCCCAATATGGGGATGCAGGACCCCAATATGGGGGTGCAGGACCCCAATATAGGGGTGCAGGACCCCAATATGGGGATGCAGGACCCCAATATGTGGGTGCAGGACCCCAATATAGGGGTGCAGGACCCCAATATGGGGATGCAGGACCCCAATATGGGGGTGCAGGACCCCAATATAGGTGTGCAGGACCCCAATATGGGGGTGCAGGACCCCAGTATAGGGGTGCAGGACCCCAAATTGTCGCAGTGACTGCAGGGCTGAGATTGATGATGGGTAATGGGGGGGGGCACAGCAAGGTTGGCCTCAGCCATTGCAATCAAACCTGGCTCCCATTGTGATTCCCGGTGGGAGGAGGGGACCCCCCCACCCCAATGTAAGCAGAGCCCCCCCTTTGCTCACCTGCCTGACGAAGCTGTTGGAGGTGGTGTCGGATGAGGTGCTGCCATCCGAGCGCTTGAAGCGGCTCTTGCGCCTGCTGTACTTGCCCTATGGAGAGCAATGGGGGAGCCCCATGGCTTGGGGGGGCAGCTCTGGACCCCCCCCCCCCCCCCAAAGCATTGCTCCATCCCTCCCTCTCTTTGCCCCACAGGTTCCTATGGGATGTGAGAAGGGAAACTGAGGCAGGGAAGGGGTTGCTCCCATTGCCATGCATCCCAAGGGCCCAGCATCGCCTCATCCATGGGGATTGGCTCTGTGATCCCAATGGATAAGTGCAGGGATGGGATGTGCCCCCCCCTCCATAAACCTCCCCCCCTCCAAACCAAACCAGAACCCACAGAGGTGTCTACTATGGGGGGGCACCCACATTGGGATGGATGGGGGGTAATGGGGATGCCCCAGTGCCCCCCCTAACCCTGTGTCACAGGGACAGCTGGGCCCAGCTGCCACCACCACGGGGGGGGGGGGGTCCCATAATGGGCAGCTCTGGGTATTTTTAGGTCCTTTCCCCCCCCTCCTCCTCACCCACCAATGGGAATGGCCATGGGGCTCAGTGTGGGATCCCCATTGGGGGGGTCACCACAGACCCCCAGAGACCCCCCCAACCATGGAGATGGGGGGGACCCCCAGCGCCTCCATCCCTTCTATGTGTGTGTTCCCCCCCATTGTCACCCAAAGTGGTTGAATGTCCCCATAGGGGCGCAGCACCCAGACACCCCCATGGGGGGCACATCCCTTGTCCCCCAAGGGGATAAAGGGGGGGGGGGGGCACACATAAACCACCCCAACAGAGTTTTCCCAATCCCTAAAAGTTTCCCCATAGCACCAGCATCGGAGGGGGGTCACACACACACACAGTGACACAGCACGCCCAGACCCCCACATGCACCCCCAAACCTACGATGGGGCCTGCATTAAGGATAGCTTCATGAGGGGGGGCACGCTGTTTTGCACGTTGGAAAGGGGGGATCACCCTAATTATGGGGTGTATGGGGGGGATCAATGGGGCTCTATTGCAGCCGGGGGGGGGGTCACCTGGAGAGCGGCGTTGTCCAAGACGTCCATCTGGATGTCCTGCGTGGAGCTGGGGGGGGTCCGGGCCATGCCGCCTTCCCGCACCATGGAGCAAGCCGGGGCCGGCGGCGGTGGAGGGGGGGGAACGGGATGGGGATGATGGGGATGGGGATGGGGACGATGGAGCCCGGGCCTGGCCTCGGCGGTGACGGCGAGGGGAGGAGGAGGAGGAGGAGGAGGAGGAGGAGGAGGAAGGGGAGTGGGGACGGTGCCGGAGTGGGGGGGGCCCAAGGGATGGCGGCGGCTGCCTCCGCCTATGGCCGCTCCCACCGCGTTCCGGCAGGGATGGGGGGTGCGGAGCCGTGGTTGCTATAGAGGGGACCCCAAACCCCCCCCCTTTATAAAGAGGAGTCCCCAACCCCTTGCCCTTCCCATGGAGGGCACCCCTAAAACATGGGGAAAGCGAGGGGGGGGGTGATGCAGAGCACCCCAATGGGATGCTCAGTGAGGGGGGGAGATGGGGGAACACCCCCCCCCCCCCAGTGTGTGGGGCTCGGGGGGCACACACATACAGAGGCTCCATTGGGATGCTCCAGGGCTCCCCCAGGACGTGGGTACCCCTAAACCCCATTGACTCCCACCCCATCCTGCCCATAGAACAAGGGGCAGATCCAAGGGGATGACCCCCCCCCCCAGGCTCATCTCAATGGCACCGGCTGTTGGAACGCCCGAGATTCCTGTTCCATGGGGTCAGGAGCGCATCCCGGGAAGCGGGACAGCTGAGGCCACGTTTCCCATGCTCAGCCCCATCCATCACAGTGGGGAAGGGATGAGCTGCCCAAAGGGTGCAGGATGCGACCACCACCACCAGCCCCTTGTGCTTGACCAAGCTCTGGGTTTTGGGGCTTCACTGCCCCCCCCAAAGCACCAACCCTGCCCCTCTCCTGGGGTGCAAGGCAGGAGGAGCAGCACCCCAGGGTGCTGGGGAGGCAGAGCTGCTGCAGGCAGATGTGTGGGAGCGGGATGCGGTGACAGCATCAGCTTCCCACTGCCAGCGCGGCTCTGATGGGATCTGCTCTGCTCCTGCACCCACAGCATCAGTGATCCTGCACCCACCTGCACCCGCAGTGCTTCTGCACCCACCTGCACCCATAGCATCAGTGCTCCTGCACCCATAGCATCAGTGCTCCTGCACCTGCAGTGCTCCTGTATCCACCTGCACCCATAGCATCAGTGCTACTGCACCTGCAGTGCTCCTGCACCCACCTGCACCCATAGCATCAGTGCTACTGCACCTGCAGTGCTCCTGCACCCACCTGCACCCATAGCATCAGTGCTCCTGCACCTGCAGTGCTCCTGCATCCACCTGCACCCATAGCATCAGTGCTCCTGCACCCGCAGTGCTCCTGCACCCACCTGCACCCATAGCATCAGTGCTCCTGCACCCGCAGTGCTCCTGCATCCACCTGCACCCATAGCATCAGTGCTCCTGCACCCGCAGTGCTCCTGCATCCACCTGCACCCATAGCATCAGTGCTCCTGTATCCACCTGCACCCATAGCACCAGTGCTCCTGCATCCACCTGCACCCATAGCATCAGTGCTCCTGTATCCACCTGCACCCATAGCACCAGTGCTCCTGCATCCACCTGCACCCGCAGTGCTCCTGCATCCACCTGCACCCATAGCATCAGTGCTCCTGCACCCATAGCATCAGTGCTTCTGCACCCACAGCATCAGTGATCCTGCACCCACCTGCACCTGCAGTGCTTCTGCACCCACCTGCACCTATAGCATCAGTGGTCCTGCACCCACCTGCACCCGCAGTGCTTCTGCACCCACCTGCACCCATAGCATCAGTGCTCCTGTATCCACCTGCACCCATAGCATCAGTGCTCCTGCACCCATAGCATCAGTGCTTCTGCACCCACAGCATCAGTGCTCCTGCACCTGCAGTGCTCCTGCATCCACCTGCACCCATAGCATCAGTGCTCCTGTATCCACCTGCACCCATAGCATCACTGCTCCTGCACCCACCTGCACCCGCAGTGCTCCTGCATCCACCTGCACCCATAGCATCACTGCTCCTGCACCCACCTGCACCCGCAGTGCTCCTGTATCCACCTGCACCCATAGCATCAGTGCTCCTGCACCCATATCCACAGTCCTCCTGCATCCAAAGTGTTCCTGCACCCACAGTGCTGCCCCTGTCACTGCTCCAGGACACCCAGAGCAGGACACAACGGAGCCAGCAGAGGAGCATAATATCCCAAACTGGTTTGGGTTGGAAGGGACCTTAAAGCTCCTCCAGCTCCACGGGCAGGGACCCCTTCCACTGGAGCAGCTTGCTCCAAGCCCCTGTGTCCAACCTGGCCTTGAGCACTGCCAGGGATGGGGCAGCCACAGCTTCTCTGGGCACCCTGTGCCAGCGCCTCAGCACCCTCACAGGGAAGAGCTTCTGCCTAAGAGCTCAGCTCAGTCTCCCCTCGGGCAGGTTCAAGCCATTCCCCTTGCCCTGTCCCTACATCCCTTGTCCCAAGCCCCTCTCCAGGTTTCCTGCAGCCCCTTTAGGCACTGGAGCTGCTCTAAGGTCTCCCCTTCAGGAGCCTTCTCTTCTCCAGGCTGCCCCAGCCCAGCTCTCTCAGCCTGGCTCCAGAGCAGAGCTGCTCCAGCCCTCGCAGCATCCCCATGGCCTCATCCATCAGCTCCACATCCCTCTGGTGCTGCTCCCCAGGGCTGGTCCCAGCACTGATCCCCGTCACCGGGCTCCAGGCTCTGCCCTGCCCCAGGTTTGTTGTAGGAACACGCGGAGCCCCATTCCCCCAGCACACGCCTGTGTTTATCCCTGTTTTCCTCTCCCAGTGAACCAGGAAATCTGTTGCCATCGGCTCCTTTTCTCACACCATATGCTGAGCGCCTGCGGCCGCCAGATCCCAAAGGAACCCTTTCCATCCTGTCTCTGGTGCTTCAAGAGCTGGCTTTGGGGGTTCGCACCCTCCAACCGGTGGAAGGAGGCAGGAAAACGGCTGCAAAAGGATGTATTTAGGGCACTATTTGGCATCGGGGTGGTTAAAAAGTGATGTTTTCACTGGGTTCGTTTGCTTTAAAGGGGGGATTTGGTGCCTGAGGTGGGTGCAGTCCATGCGTTATCACTTTGCATCATTCCCTGCTCCCTTCACCGCTGCTCTGGGATGCTCCTCCCGCATTAAGGACGTCGGTTTCAGGCCTCGCTCTTGGTTTTCCTATGCCAGGAGGGTCCGGAACATCCCTGAGCCCGTCCCTGCTTTCCCACCTGCGGGAGCAAAGCGGGCCCCGAGATCCCAGCTCCGATCCCAGCTCCGATCCCTGCTCACCCACACACCGCAGAGGGGAGAGCTTCGGAGCAACTGCAGGGACCAGAGCCCGGACGATGCTGAGCTCGTCCCATCCTGCAGCTCCCAGGCACGGGGACAGGGAACAACCGTGTCCCGGCTCCCTCGGGGCCAACAATGGGACCGGGTCCCGTCCCATTGCCCCTAACCAGGTCCCATCGTCCCCAGTCCGGTCCCATTGCCCCTAACCTGGTCCCATCACCCCTAATCCGGTCCCATCGTCCCCAATCCAATCCCATTGCCCCTAACCTGGTCCCATCACCCCTAATCCGGTCCCATCGCCCCTAACCTGGTCCCATCACCCCTAACCTGGTCCCATCGCCCCTAACCTGGTCCCATCACCCCTAACCCGGTCCCATCACCCCCAATCTGGTCCCATCGCCCCTAACCCGGTCCTATCGCCCCTAACCCGGTCCCATCGCCCCCAATCCGGTCCCATTGCCCCTAACCTGGCCCCATCGCCCCTAACCCGGTCCCATCGCCCCCAGTCCGGTCCCATTGCCCCCAGTCCGGTCCCATTGCCCCTAACCCGGCCCCATCGCCCCCAATCTTGTTCCATCACCCCTAACCTGGTCCCATCATCTCTAACCCGGTCCCATCACCCCCATCCCACTGCATCCCCAACCCCACCGCGCATGCGCAGGCTCCGGCTCGGGCTGTACCACCCCGCACCGAGACGGGGGGGGTACGAAGGAAGGAAACCGCTTCTTTCCTTCCCCCTGCCGAGTCGCTCCGGCTCCCTCTCGCCCTCAGTCCCCGCAGCCCCATCGCGGCTCTCCCGTCACCGAGTCCCGCTCCGTCTCCGGTGCTGCGGGGCACGGAGCTGGGTGGGAACCAAGTGGTACATTCCGCTCCCAGCGGCGCCTGCGCTGGGCGGGACCGGCCTCACGCCTCTTCCTCCGCGCCCGGCCGCCGCCATGAGGTGAGGGGTAGTGCTCTGTGGGGCTTGGGGTGGGTTCAGCGGCCATGGAGGGGGATACGGCAGGGAGCGGGGTCTAGGGTCTCGGTAACGGGGGGAGGCTTCGGTAACCGGGGGGGTCCCGCGGCCCCTGGGGTGGCTGCGGTCTCCGCGGGGGGAAAATGGCGGCCGCGGTGAGGGGAGGGGGGGAAATGGCGGCTGTGGGGAAGCTGAGGGAGGAGCGGGGCCAGGGCAGGGCTCGGCCGCTTGTGCTGGGCACTGAAGGGGCATTGAGGAGCTGGAGCGGGGCCACGGAAGGGAATGGAGTCGGTGCAGGGCCTGGAGCACAGTGCGGTGGGGACGGGCTGGGGGACCGGGGGGGACCTGATCGCTCCCTACAAAGGCCTGGCAGGAGGATGGAGCCAGGAGGGGCTGGGCTCTGCTCCCGAGGGGTGGGACAAGAGGAGCCGGCCTCAAACTGCCCCATGGGGAGGTTTAGATGGAGCTGAGGAGCAATTTCTGCCCCAGAGGGTGCTCGGGGCAGTGCTGCAGTCACCGGCCCGGGTGTGGATGGGGCCCGGGGTTAGGGCTGGGTGCTGATGCAGGAGGTGTTTGCAGTATGCTGCGGCTCCAGAAGAGGCTGGCCTCCAGCGTCCTGCGCTGCGGCAAGAAGAAAGTGTGGCTGGATCCCAATGAGACCAACGAGATCGCCAATGCCAACTCCAGTGAGTGCCCTCCCCGTGGTGCTGGGACAAGCAGGGATGCGGTGGGGACAGGGAGAGGGGCAGGGATGCGGTGGGGACAGGGATAGAGGGGCTGGGACAAGCAGGGATGCGGTGGGGACAGGGGCAGAGGGGCTGG